ATTTCCTCAGTAGGTTTCTTGATTGTGAAGATACAATGAAGAAATCAAGGCAGAATATTTGGCATAGATTGGGAACATGGAAATTGTGGTGTTATGTGCCGTTGAGTTGGTTCCAACTCATAGCAACCCTCTGCAAATTTCCGAGGAGCAATTGGGGGTGCCATTTTATCATTTTTTTGAGCCCTGAATAGCACTGGAAATAAGCACTGAACTGTTGATAAGGTTAACAGTTCAAACCCAGCAGCAGTTCCTCAGAAACCCTATATAGTGACATTACTTTTATTAAAATTTCAATGCTGAGAAATCTATCTTCTTCAGACATTTTTACCACCTAATGCAAGTGTACAGAGAAGATAGGAATCTCTCCCCTTTCCACTATAGCTTGTTGGTAAGTGCTGTCCAGTTAGTTTCAACTCAGCGATCCTGTATAGCTGGGGTAGGGTCCATACGGCCTGTGAAATCATTTGGAATGGACCTGACAAAACAATCGTAATTCCAGCCATCACATTGTTGTTGTTGCTAAGTGCAGTGGAGTTGGTTCCAACTCATAGTGACCCTGCATCACGTTTCCAAGGTGCCGTTAGGGGATCTTAACAGCTGACCTTGCAGTTCAAACAGACACTGCAGTTGAGTGCTTGTTCTCTAACACCACACACAACATTGTCAATAAGGACTTTAAAGTCAGTTCTGACCCATAGTGACCCTGTATAGGGTTTCTCAGTAGTGGCTGGTAAGCTTGAACCACAGACCTTGCGGTTCAAACTGACTTTGCAGTCCAGCACATTGGAGTCCTTGCATGGTGCTGTGGCTTAATGCGCCAGACTGCAAATCTGTTTGAACTGCAAGGTCGGTGGTTCAAGCTCACCAGCTGCTCCTTGGAAACCCTATACAGGGTGGCTATGGGTCGGAACTGACTCGACGGCACATAACAATTTTGTACAACCCAAGAATGTTATAAATTTTGGCAGAGAAAAGTTTCCCCACTCCAGTTATATAGCATTTCCCAGGTTTGAATGGACAACCATGTAGTTATACCAGTGTTTGTGGGTAAAATTTTAGCCACAAGAAAACACCTGTGTATTTCACTCACTAGGATGGAGTCCTGGCACGGCACTGACGGATAAACATTAGACCTCTAACCACAAAGTTCGCATTTCAAACCCACCAGGCACTCCTTGGAAGCCATATACAAGGTCACTATGACTTGGGACCAAATTGACAGTACTTAACATAGGATCAAGTAAGGGAAAGCACACTCATTTTTTATTTCTAATGAAATAAAAATAATGTATGCATATATGTAAGTGCCATCAAGTCGGTTCCGACCCTGTATAGAATTTCCAAGGAGAAGCTGGTGAGCCATAACCGCCAACCTTGCAGTTCAAATAGCTTTGCATTCTGGCATATTATCCGACAGCGCCATACCCAGCACTCCCAAATTAATTTATAGGTAGATGATAATGACAACCCAGAAAGTCCAAATAATTTACTGGACACTTCTCATATTTCCCCAGAACTAGAATATTTCAGTATATTCTTTATATTAAAACTTCTGTTGGCTGCACGGTCTTATCAGCCCTTTCAGTGTAAACTCACTTTTGTGTGGATATGAATGTGGGCATCTGCAAACAAAATTTGACCAATACATGAAGGAAGGTAAAAGTTTATTTTAAAACAACTACTGGTGATGAGACATGGATTCCTAACTATGAGCCTGAGAATAAATGATACAGTATGGAATGGAAACATCCTCAATCACTGACCAAGAAAAAGTTCTAAAGTCAACCATCAGCCGGATAATTGATGCTTACGGTTTTCTGGGATTATCTAGGGCCAGTGTTGGAACACTAGCAGGAAAAAGGTTCAACAATCAATAGTGCTCCTTACAGTGAGATGCTCACTGAGGAGCTGAAGCCTCAACTTCAGATTAAATGCAGGAGACTACTATCCAATGGCTTTGTGATATTGCATGACAATGCACGTCCACATACCTCTGCCCACACTATTGACACCTGCAAAACCTTGGTTTTAAGAGAGAGGGGATAATATTCTTATGATTAAACAGTAATTGTTATCATGATTAATTGCAACTGTCACAATTATAAAGGTAGAAGTTTTGTTGCAAAAACAGGAGAGTAGTTAATCATATAACCCAGAAACAGAGGACCCTAGGACCATCAAGGGAGAAGAGCACAAGTGGAATGCGGGACCTTATCCAGAGAAGCAGCGACACCAGAGATGGAGGCAGAGATGAGGACATGGAGAGAGGGAACACCTGAGGTTTCTAGATTCATGGAAACAGAGGGCAGGCGGCCAGGAGGTGGGCTTGCAGAATGTGCTCTTTGGTGGTGTAATTATTATATATGCCTGAGTGTTTTTTAAAAAAAGGCTAAAATGAACAGAGAAATACTGTTAACTGACAGTACACGGAGGGAATTATAATCATTGTAATGAAACGAAGTATATGATTTGTTGAATGTAAAACTGATGATCTGCCCTATAAATGTTCACTCAATTCACAATAAAAACTAAACAAAAAAACCCACTTGGTTTTGAGGTATTAAAGCATCCTATCCATGTAGTCCTGATCTTGCTCCATTGGACTATCACCTGTTTGGTCCCCTGAAAGCAGCTTTTCAAGGACGAAGATTCACCTCTGATGAAGAAGTCAAGACAGTGGTACAATTCTGGCTTGCAGCTCAGCCTAAAACATTTCTTAATAAGGGAATACAAATGTTTGCTGACAGATGGACAAAATATATTGAAAAGCAACGAGATTATGCCAAAAAATGATGCATTTGTGTTTTTTAAAAGCCAATTAATATAAATTCTAAAGCCAAAGTGCAGACAATTTTTGACTCAGTCTTGTAAAATTCTGAAAAATAAGTTTTTTCAATAAACCTGGTGCAAAACCTAACTTGAATCATAATTTGACTATTTAGTGTGACTATTCCTGTTCTGCTACAACAATATTCGTGTTTGAATTTGGGGTCCTGACACAAACCCCACTGGGATGTAAAGTGAATTATATAGCAAATGCTCCCAAGCAGGTTCAGATAAAGCATAACTCCAGCTTAAAGAAGAGTCTTTTAAGATATAGCTGAAAAAGCTGAGGAAAGCTGATTATTAAGACTTAGAAGCAGTGACTGCATTATACTAACATAGAACTCTAACAAACCACTAAGTCAAAATATCTTACACTGAATAAAGTGGGAGGCAATCTGAGAAGCAGATGCAAATTCGTAAATAGCAAAGGGTATCTTTCTGAAAAATTTCCTTCAGAAATCAGAATTTTACATAAAAAGGTATTTCTGTGGCTGGGTAATATATTTATTCAAAATAGGTCGATGGCCTCTTTAGACCTTTAAACTGCTTTAAACTTTAAAATACTTTAAAAAAAAAAAAAAAACACTAAAAATTCAGTTTCAGTTTTCTAGTATGCAGTGCGCAATTACACATAATACCATTTATTTAACGAGACTGAAAGAATGAGTCTCCAAGATCAAATATATACATTTTTAATATTTGAAATATTTACATAATGCAACCATCTCATGTTCCATTGTTTAAGAACAGTGTTTTCAATTGTCCTCAAATTGTAAAAAAAAATCTAGTAACTCAAGCTTACAGTTATGCTTTTCTGATATGCCAATCTTTATCTTTAAATAAATACACTGACATGAGAACAGCTGCATCTAAGTTGTGTTAGGAACTATTTAAAACTTGTTAAATTTTCAGGTAATGCTCCCTGGCAAAGTTTTGATCTACAAGACAGCTTAAAGTACATCATCAGAATATTTTAAAACTATGATGAGCAGAGATAAAATAATGTGTGTGAATGTGTATTAACACACACACACAATACAAACCCTTTACAGAACAAAAATGAAAATTAAAATGTTAGTAGTGGTTGTTATCTGCCATAAATAATTTACTTTTTCCTTAGAAATAATATGTAAACCTTGTAAATTGCTAAGCTGAATTCTATTTGTTAATCACTTTCTAGTGTTCAAAACTGCCAATTTTCAATCTTGTTTAGGCATTTACTTTTGGAGAACTTTTATTTTAAAAGGATACTTTTTAACTTATGCTTTTGGAAGGAAGATTTGGGAACACTGTAAGTTAAGGACCATTACAGAAAAAAATGCATTAAATAAAGCTTTCTAGAATCTAAGGATCTTCCTCATTTCTGAACAATAAAACTAGGAAAAATCACTATGATTCACACTCTCTTAAAAGAAAGAGTGAAGTAGTCAGCCATAAACAGGGACACCCCATCCTGTTCAACAGAATGTTGCTCACCACAACAGTACCATTCTCTGGGAGACTAATAACCTAATTATCCCAGACATTTGGGTTGGCACAATATCACATTTCCTTCTCAATTCTATTCTGCAATAAGGAAATGTTTACAGGAGTCCTCAAAAACAAATTAGGGAATAGTAAGTTTTTTAAACAAACATTCACACAAACACAGTCATAACAGAAATACGGAAGGAATGGGCTGTTCGCGAATTTCTGCATTGTAATTTTAAGTTCCACATCTTCAGAAGGACTTGTCATTTATGATTGAAAGGGGTAATAGATATGACTGGTATTCTTTCTATGAAAATCATTGATGTTTGTTCCTAAATAGTCCAGTTCAATATAAGTGCAATTCTGCAAAAGAATTGGGGAGCCATTTTAATATTTACAAGGAATAAATCAGCAGAACAAGATTATACCAGATAGGCTGTGTACAGTAGCTGAGGCTTATAAAACATACCAGTAATTTGTACCTGGTGAATAAAAAGAGAACCAAGATAAGATTCAGATGACTTTACAACCAAGGGGGTACACAGGTCATCAATAAATCAGAGGACCAAAAAAAAAAAAAATTCACATTTTCTACATTAAAAAAATTACAGATCTCACAAATGTCTTTGAGGACAAAGAAAAATTCAAAGTCCTTTAAATGGTGGGAAAGAAATCTGAAATGGAAATCTAAATGTAAAAAGTTTTTACTTCACAAGACCAATTTTCTTGGCTTCTGTTTCATATATCAACAATCTCCACATTTTGACGATAAAAACTTCTGCTTCTTCATCAAGTACCTGGATGAGGAAAAATAAGCAAGTAAGATTATTACAGTGACTAGTATAAAAATAAAGTCTTTTCTATTGACAAGAATTTACTGTCAATAAAACTTAAAATCTAATGTGATAAGGAAACCCAATTTTCTTTGTGCACTTTTACTGATAAAACAAAATATATTTTTTAAATGTCTACTGTGAAAATTTCTCAACAGTAAAAATAAATTATTCAAAAATTCATTCAGGAAAGTGTCATGCCTTACTAAACTGCTATTATTACACTGTCTTCTGATCCATTTTATTTTTAAAGAAACTACATTTGTACATGCCTCAAGAAAGAGTTCCTAAAGAAAGCAAATGTTTGTTATAAAGAACATCCTAATGTGGCACTGTAGAATAAGCACTAGACTGTTAACTGAAGCTTGGTGGTTCAAACTCACACAGGAACTCCTTGGAAACCCTATCTAGGGTCGCTATGAATCAGAAATGACTCGACAGCACTAAACAACAACAAATATAGAAGGTAATTTAATAAAACCTATCACATTTATGCCAATCTAAAACAACCTTATAGTTTTAATTAACATTTATCAAGTGTTTATTAGTATGTGACATGAAATTAAATAATAAACAAGAATATAAATCATTTAATAGTCTTGACTACAAGAAAAAAGACTAAGTGAATATCATTATAACCAAAAACTACAAAAATTATGCAGTAAACAACAGGTCCTTTCCCCTTGGCATATGAATAAATCCTTAAAGAATCTTTCCTTTTCCTGAAAAATTCAATGCTCTTTCAAAACTGTCAAAAATGACAGTTTTGACATCAAGACTTAGTTTTTTTTCTTTTACATGTTCATTGATTTTGAGGGGAAACAAAAGGGGCATTATCAGGGCTGCAGGCTGGTTTGGTAAGGTTTCTCAAGGAAATTCTCAAAGGACAGCCCTTGCTTACTACCCTGGAAAAAAGAGCAGATGTAATGTGATAGAAAAAAATACCTCAGCACAACTTTTCTTGTCTTTTTCTCACCAATGAGTTTTCAACTTCCTTTAATAAGCCCCATAATTGCCCTTTTTCCTTCTATAAAATCTGCCCTTTGGAAATCCCCCCAAAACAGCTGCGATAATCCTGATCTGATCCCTCTGTCTCAAACTGAACTGCCCTATTCCTTGGGAGCCACTGTTTTGATTTGACCTTGGTTACGATTTCTTCCATAACATAGTCTTCATTACTTCTATTTTGCTTTAAAAAAAGACTGATGGTAATATCAGTTCTTTGAGCTAATGGATCTTTGTGCAACGCTCCTGGCTCCACTGAACTGAAAGCCTGAAGTACCAACTTCAGCAGCTATTGCCATCAATAGTATGTATTCTCACCAGTTTTATGGACTTAAGCCACCGTTTCTTCACTGGTCAAAGATGAAGGTCTTTCTGACATACCTTAACATGCTTTATGCATTTAAAAACTATTGTTTTATGTGGGGCAACAGTCCCTCATGCATACTTGTTTCAAAACTTCCATTATTTGGGAAGATATCCACTTAAATTTTGTTTAAAATTTGGTATTAGCACTGACCTCAAAAAAGTTTTTTTCCATGGCAAAAAAGTAGTGTTGTTTTTAGAAGTTTGAAGGCACCCTAACAAGAATAAGACATGTGTATTACTGAGAAAACTGTCTGCAGCCATTCCACTGATGACAAAGATGTGCTTTAAAACTTTTAAAATAGAGACCAAACAGCAATACTTTTTGGCTTAAACACTCATGAGTTAGGTGTATTATGACTCGATCACTTCTGCCTTCATCCCATATATTTGGGAAGTGGACTATTTTGCTTCCTTCTAAAGGAGAACCCAATGACTGACCTTCAGGGCATTATTGCCAAAATGGATGTGACCAGTTATTCATAAAGGTGGTTCAGGGCATGAGTTAAGAGCAGTAGTCACAATACTTGGCATCAAATTCCACATATACCGATTACTATCTACAAGTCTTTGGTTGGATTAATTAATCTCATTAAACATGAGTTCCTACATCCATAAAAGGAAAAATAATAGTATCAGGGTTCAGTAGAACCATGGTGATTAAAAGAATTAATATGTACAGAGTGCTTTGAATAGTGCCTGGTATCTAATAAGTGTTCAAACTGTACCTCAAAATAAGTCAGCAATGGTAAGTTTTATGAAAAGCCAATGATGGTAACTAATTTTTAAAGTTTTTAATTAGACATCTTGATAACACACTGGACCGAGAGGATGGTTTGAACCATAAGGTCAGCAGTTCAAACTCACCAGTTGCTCCTCTGAAACCCTTTACAGAGTTATTATGAATCAGAACCGACTCAATGGCACGTAACAACAAGTCAAACATGACCTGTCGCTTTGGCTTATGCTGTAGAAATAATTAATGTGAACATCATACCTTGCAATTAGTAAGGGTTAAGGCATAAAATGCAACCAATGTTCATAAATTCATACAATATGAGGTAAAGAACATATAATTTGAAAAAGTCAGATTTTAATAGGAGCAAAATATTACTAAAAATTGTAATAGCTAAAAATTGCTTCATTCAGTCAAAAAAACTTCGGGCCATAAGCTTTTAATAGAGCTGACATCACAGTCTCAACTGGTTTCCTCCCATCTGATCAAAATTGAGCCAGAATATGAAAACCATATAAGGAGCAAATTATATTTCAAACATCAAAATATTTCAACAGATAAAGACACGTAATCCTCATTAATAATGACTGCAACTCGGCTGAGGCCAAAAACATAAGCAGTGATTCATTCATTACTATTATTTCCACTCTCTACCTTAGGAATAAACTTTAAAGATCAGGAAAGTTCCGATTTCACTCTCAAGCTAAGCACTGTGGAGGCAACATCTTTTCACTCTAACCCTCCCTCCCTGCAATTCTTGGTTGTATTTCAAAACATAAGCCTTAACAACCCCTCCCACTACAAAACTTTCCCATGCAAAAAAGGGTTTCAAAAACAGTATGGCAATTTATTTTAAAGAAATAGTCACTGAAAACCCTATGGCATGCCAGGTGTTGGGGTTTATTCAATGGTACCTTGTTTGTACAAATTAAATGTGAATGGTCAAGATGGATATTAAGATAATGGTGAGGATTACTCTGAAGTTTTCTAGCATAATGAACTAGGCAACTGAATTTATATTTATACATGTACACACGAAGGGGTAGGAGATGGTGAAAAAGAAAACTCAATGGTACTCAAATTTCAATTTAATGAATACTCAGATGTTAACTCAAGTCTATAAAAAGTCTGAAAACTATACAGAAAATTAAATTCAGATACATTACTGTTTATTCACATCAATAAATTAAATGTTAGTAACACCAAGTTTTAACTTACCATGGCAACATCATCTAAAATGCTCTGAGGTGAACTATGAGCCATAACCTACAAAACAAACAAACAAACAAACAAACAAGTAATTATCACTTTGAAATTGAAAAATATCAATATATGTAAGAAGTTTTAAGATACACACCCTCAAACGTGTATTGGTTGAGGAACGTTCCTATAAACTTTTAATCCTCCATAATCCCATTGCTTAATGGAAGTTTTTTTTTGTTGTGTTGTTAGGTGCTCGGTCCTGGGCTAACCTCAAAATCATTGCTATGCCTGAGGGCTATTGCTGCTGCCACTTCGTCTTCTTAGGTTCTTCCTCTTTTTCTCTGACCCTCCACTTTACCAAACATGATATCCTTCTCCAGTGACTGGTCCCTCCTGACAGTATGTCCAAAGTATGAGATGAAATCTGGGCATCCTAGCTTCCAAGGAGCATTCTAGTTGTATTTCTTCCAACACAGATCTATCTGTTTGTTCGTTTGGCAGTTCATGGTATTTTCAATATTCTGGGCCAACACCATAAAATCAGATGCATCAATTCTTCTACGGCCTTCCTTATTCACGGTTCAACTTCTGTATGCATATGAGGTCATTGAAAATACCATGGCTTGGGTTAGGTGCACCTTAGTCCTCAAACTGACCACCCTTTGCTCTTCAACACTTCAGATTTGCATTTAATGCTAAGTAGCACACCAAAACTTGAGGTCTTTATCACTGACTGAGATCTCATACAAATTTTAATATTACAAGAACTACAAGTAGAAAGGGCAGTCTTCCTTAGATTCAAAGAAAAGTACTGGGGAAAGCAAAAGGAATGCAACCTCCTTGAAATATACTTATTTATATCATTACAGGAATGGGGCGCATTTACTATAGTAACTGTCATAAGCCTTTCCTTTCAGGAGATAATGGAAAGACAGAATATACTTTGGTTATTAAGAGCATAGGTTTTAGAGACTTAGCTCTGCTACTTACTATATAACTTAGCCAAGACACAATTCTTATTAAACCTCAATTTCTTCAACTATTAAATGGGGATAATATATTGTTGTTGTTAAGTGCTGTCGAGTAGATCCTGACCCATAGCAACCCTGCATAGGGTTTCTGAGGAACAGCTGGTGAGCTTGAACCACTGACACCTTGAAGTTCAAACAGCTTTGCACTCTGGCACATAAACCAACAGCGCCACACCAGGATTACCAACAATTTATAATTCCTAAGGTTGTTGACAGGTTCAATGGAAATAGAGTTCTATAATATGTTTACCAAGCTTGGAATGAAGCAGTCAATCAATGTTGATGATTATAACATGGAGAGGACTATTTTGTTCTTCCAAAGTATGGAAAACTGACCAAGGGGTTAAATAGCTACAAATGCCACCACCAATTGTATGAGTACTTCACCGACATTCTAACCATTACAACAAAGATGGGTTGACATGACCTTCTAAGGATCAGAAAGAGAGTGTAATGGGCAGCACCCAGCCATTCTATTCCCTTTGATGGCCTGAAAGAAAGTATCATTCATGCAGCTGTGAAAAACTAAAAGGAAATTATCTTGGACTTGATTCTAATTGATTTTCCCTGGACTTTTAAAGTGTATAATAGTCGAACCTAGAAAACAAGTTTTGGAAGAATAAGATGAAAAAAACCAACCTTAGAACAAACAAAATCAACTAATGTAGCTTCTTCTTCACCTATGTATTCTATAATTTTCTTATTAATCCATGGTCTAATTCGTCGTTCCATCAATATCTGCAAAATGAAATAATGTGATCACCAAATAAATTAAAGAATTATTACACTTATTAAAACATCTCTAAGGAGTCGTGGTGGTAGAGTGAGTTATGTATTGGGCAATGCAAAATCAATAGTTCCAATCTACCAATCACTCAGCAGGAGAAAAGAGGAGGCTTTTTGTTCCCACAAACAAACCTTATTTATACAGGATCACTAGGATCACCACCACCACCACTAAAACCTATTATAACTTCACCTCTTTCTTAAAACTAAGATATCATGAATGTTTACTCAAAAATTATACTAAAATACAAATTGCTACAACTGCATATATAAACAGCTAAGGCTCCAGAAGGACGTGTAAATGTGAGAAAAGATATTAAAAATATGACATTAGGTAAAACCATGCCATGATGTTGGAAGTAAAACTTAGAATTTCTTGTTTCTAATTTTTAAGAGTCTCAACTCAAGATAACTCAAGTATCACTATAAAATTTCCATGAATCTAACTTCCTTGGCAATGACATTACTTGGTGCCAAAATTACAACAATATTACCCCGTATTTATTTGTCATTAACAGAATCAAATGAGTTTTTATTCAAAACCATTCCCCATAGCATTCCTACTCACAGAATCCACAATAGACCAATCAAGGGGATAAGCAAAGAGCTCAGGTTTGGCTGTAGGGATTTTCTCAATGAGACTTTTAATGTGCTTCCGTTTTTCTTCAGTGTTTACAGTGCCTTTGGCAGCATTTTTATCATCTTCACCATAATCCAAGGGAACCAGTTTCCTCTTTCGGGGTACATCATCACTGTCTTCATCCTCAAATTTGTTAAAGACACTATCTACAGGAAGTTTCTTTCTCTTCACAGAATTAGGTTGACCAGGACTATTGGAAGCACCTATAGTAAAAACATTATCTTAACATGACAACTAAAATTGAAAATATTAAATTTTACAACCCACCATCCCTAAAAACAGCGCAAAAAATACTATTTCCACAAGTCTCAGAGAAAGATCCCAACTGTAAAAAGTAACTCACTACTCACAAGTGCTAGAAAACTTAACTTTTCATCTCTTCTCAGAACTCGAGGCAGCTGCAACTATAGGAGCACGAGTAGAACTATGAAAACAATCATGAGCTAGAAATGCATTTTTGAGTATTTTTCTATCTACCTAAAAAGTACCACTTTTTTTTTTCTCCCAATGGTAAAACTTAGGTGTTTTACAAGAAAAAAAGCAGGAAGGAAAGAAAGAAATGGTAACATACCCAATTTAAGACTAAGTCCTATTTTGGGCCTATGTTCCTCGGGTTGTTGTTGATCAGGTGAGTTTTCGTGGGGAATAATAATACCACAGGGAGACTCATCCCCAGGAGTGTTGGGGGTTGCATTGCCACTGGCAGAGGAAACAGATGGGGCAGAGCTGATGGGTCTCAGAGTTGGCTTGAGACAGGGCTTTTGTTCTGGTTCCTCTTCCTCTTCAATGGGTTCTTCTCGTTTTTCTTCTTTTTCTTGCTTTTCTTCTTCCTCTTCCTCTGATTCTGGTTCTTGCTTTATTTGTGGCTGCCTGCGTCTCTCAGCCTCCTGTTCCATCTATAATTTAAAAAATCAGATTAACTTGAAGAGCTGGTAACTTTTCCAACCTGTTTCTTGTTTAGATTTTTTCCTAAAACATGTTTCTCTTTTAGATTAGGAATAACTAAGCACTGACTACATCTAAATTTAAAACATGGTATTAAGTATTTTGTCAAATATTTATTTTTTTTTAATGTCTTCATTATTGTTTTATATGTTATCTGTAATTCCTGCTTACATAAATATGCATTTTAACACTAGGGAAAAAACTTTCATTGTGAAGAGTAAAAGTGACATGCATATAACAGGTTAGGAAAAAAAAGTGGCTATGAAGAATCAAAATTCATACTATTTTATTAGCTTCCTGGTAAAACTACAAACATTTTAAAATGAAATTTTATTTTTAAATGCAAGAATAGTATATATTTTTTCTTGGCATGTAATTTTTTAAATTACAAAGATATGCATGAAAGCATTTTTTAATTTGAAAATAAATAAATGGAGTGGTACTGAATGGAAGTCAAACCACAGAAAGTCTTAAGTGTCAAAGGAAACTATTGGAAAAGCAGGTTTATAGCAAAGATTTATGAAACATTAATTTAACTTCACAGTAAAAAAGTAGTGAGATAGCATTAAGAAGTTTAGAATTAATCACTCAATGACGACATAGCTTAAACCAAAAAACAATCAGTATATTACTCTAAAATACATGCAACATGCAGGGATGATTATAAAGAAATCTTCAAACCATTAGGTACATCATGGTTGGCTTGCTTAAGGTAATGTGATGATCTTCTATAAACAAAATAGCTATAGGTCCAAGAATTATCTTACCCTTTGGAGCTCTGCATCTGGGTCTGGGTGTCCTTCTGCCAGAAGGCGCTGTCTAATTTCCTCAAGCTCTTCCTTTTCTCTCTTCCTATCACGCTCATCTGCTTCCATTTCCTTTTCCCTGTCACGCAACCTTTTCTGAAGAGCACTTCCCCTGAAAGAATAAATCCCAATAGGTCTTCAGATGATCAACTATTATATAAACATGGTGTCTCCAGCAGTGTTTTTCTCCAAAGCTAAATAAAAGTTCTATGCTTAGAGACGGCAGACTTCAGTGTTGCAGAACACACAAGAAAATATCTCTACATGATACTCAAATAAGCAGGCACTGTCTCATTTCTCCCATGCTGTGTTCTTGTGTTATTCTAATCACGTGTATAAAACACAGAAATGTGGCTTTCAGAGGGAAGTAGAGAGCTATCATTTGTCTTTTTTTAGATGCCAAACTACAAAAAAAATACGTAGCATTAGTACCATTAAGAGTAGTTATATATCCTCAACTTAAGTGTTTCCCGTGTAGAATTAACAACAGAAAGTAGAGGTTACATCTACCTTTATCTAGCACCTAATCATAATTCAGAATATTGAAATTAAGCAATGCCATTGTATCTTAGTCTTTAATAACTTAGCTGTATTTTTTTCTTTTAGTATTTTTAACATTAAAGCAAATTCTTTGGCATTTCTATTTTAAATTACTAATTCCAGTTTTTCAACTATTTGTACCAAATTCAATGATATATTAAGTAATTTCATTACATTTCTGCATAACATGAGACACAATGGAAATAAAAGACTAAGGTATTGCCATATCCTCAGAGGACTTATAGATGAGGCATCTGGGCTAGGAGTAAGATGAACAGTTCTATCAGAGTGTGATTAAGTGCTAGGGTGGGAATTCTTTAGATATGCCATGGAAACAAGAGGGGCTTCACTACTCTCGTTTCACATTGTTGTGGTGGTATTGTTGTTAGGTGCCACCTCATAGTGACTCTATGCACAACAGAACGAAACACTGTCCAGTCCTGTGTCAACCTCATAATCGTTGCTACACCAGAGCTGATTGCTGCAACCACTGTATGAATCCATCTAATTGAGGGTCTTCCCCTTTTTCTCTGAACCTCCACTATACCAAACATAATATCCTTCTCTCCAGGGACTGGTCCCACTGATAATATGCAAAGTATGAGGGACAAAGTCTGGCCATCCTGGCTTCCAAGGAGCATTTGTCCAACACAAACTGGTTTGGTTCTATGGGTAGTCCATGGTACCTTTAATATTGTCCTCCAACACATCTATTCTTCTATGGTCTTACTTATTCCAGTACAATTTTCACATGTATAGGAGGTTATTGAAAATACCATGGCTTGCGTCAGGTGCACCACAGTCCTTCACATTAATGGATCAATTCAGTGGTATAGGTGTACGGATATGCTGTAAGCCCTGTTGTTGTTAAGAGTTGCTGAGTAGGTTACAACCCATAACAACCCTTTCTAATGCTTTTCTGAGGATAAGCTCATGGGTATGAACCATCAACTTTGTGCCATACCCTAGGTAGTTATAAATGTTAGTTATTAGGTTCATACCTATTTTTAAACACCTTAGGGAAAAAATACTCATTCTGGGGATTGCAATTAATGTCACGAATCAAAAAGGTGTAAATTTTTTCATGGAAAATCAATTTGCTCTGCAAACTTTCAACCAAACACAATAAAAAGGTTAAGAAAATACATTATACTATCCTGGGCTTTTTCCTAAAAAGATGCAAAGAACTGTCCATCATTTTACAAAAGCTGTTATTTCCTCCAGAAAATAGTATGTACATAGCCAACTACATACACTACTATCATCACCTTTAATGGTCGGTCACCATTACGAGATTTTTTTCTCTTCAGACCTACTAAACAGGCACACTCTGGTTGACAAAGGAGAAATATAGATATAAAACCTGGAAATATAAGTACCATTATAAACCAAGGCTCTTTCACCTGTAATACTTGGGATCATCTCTATCATCATCATAATCTTCTAAGAATTCTTTTAGTCGCTTAGCTTCTTTTGCCTTTAAGGAAATGAACAACAAAGGCACATTATTAACATGAAAGTCATTGAGATTGCCCCATTCCCCTTTCTTGAGAATAGATATTCCTTACCAATATATAAGAATTATAAAGTTTAGATTGAAGGGATTAATATTCAATAGCACGATGAGTCAGAAACTACATGACCATACTTAACAACAATCCATACCAACTAAACTTTGTAACTCATGCATCAAATATTAAGTGAAAACCACATTTTATATATATATTCTCCTTTACTTAGTTCTAATACAGTAACAGTTACAAGACTTATCTGTGAAATAAAAATTACAAACAGTAAGCTACAAAAAAAGGAGCTCTGGTAGCGTAGTGGTTACGAATCGGGCTGCGAACCTCAGGGTCAGTAGTTTGAAACTACCAGCTGTTCCGCAGGAGAAGATGAAGTGTTCTGCTCCTGTAAAGATTTATAGCCTCGGAAACCCTGTACAGGGTCACTATGAGTTGGAAACGACTCTATGGCACATAACAACAAAGCTACAATAAATATCTAATGAAACCTCAGCATACCAGGAAACATTAACTTCAAGGTATCTTACTGATTTTAACTAGAAAAAGTATTTCAAATGTTATTATGTAAGTAAATGATGCCACAAGAAATACCCACTGCCACTGAGTCACTTCTGACTCTTAATGATCCTATAGACCCTATAAGACAAAAATAGTAGAAGTGTTCATTTTGAATTGTCCATAGTTTTTTCAAAGTTATAAATCTTTATGGAAGCAGACTACCTGGTAGAACCGTCAATGTATCTATCAGCAACCCACTGCACCACCTCAGCTTTGGCTTACAAGAAACAGTTTTTATAAAACATAAGACAAAAAAATTTAAATGACATTCACACATCATTTTGAAAGTAATGTCTACCTAACTTTAAATTCACTCGAATAAATCATAAAAGCATTAAGAATTCTCCTGTTTCTGAAAATTCAGATATAACCAATATTATATGTAAAACTGGAGAACTGGTGTGGCGCTGTGGGTTAATGCGCCAGACTGCAAGGTCAATGGTTCAAGCTCACCAGCTGCTCTTCAAAAACCCTATACAGAGTCGCAACCGACTCAACAACACTTCACAACAACAACATATGTAAAATTAAAGCAGATAATGGTAGGTAATTGCAATACACTTCAAACAGTTCACATGTTACCTCCCTACAAAGACCTCCCCAGCCTAACCTATCTATGACCAATCCTTCTCCCCAGGAAGAATTAGTCATTCTCTGTGCCTCCATAACACTATGAACATATTTTCAAAGTTAAACTTTAAGCACACACACTCTTCTCCTCCCTCTCTTTACAGTAGCTACCTTATTTTCCTGACTGTATTGCCCACTTTTTTAAAATGAAGAATCACCAATCATATACACATAACGTAATAAAGGGCTGGGATGTAATGTGCACTCAATGTTTATCAAATTAATAGCTAAGGTGGAAAAGGCAATATTTATAAATACCTTAACAAAAAGAATTATTAAAAGGTGGCACCAAGAAAAATCTATTACATACACACTACTACGTAAACTATTGAAAAGGAGCATACAAATGTTCACACTTTACTTCACATACTTGTGCTACTTGATTTTTTTTAATGAGCTAGTAAATTTTTCCAAACTAACAACAACAACAACAAAAAAATAGGGGGCTTTTCACTAGAAAGACAGGTTTCAAGTTACCTCATCATAATCAATTATTTCAAGTTTATTCTATAATGGTGTTGATGGCAAGCATTTGACAATTCATTATAATTCTTATTATATTGTTTTATTATCTTTCGTGCAATGTGTCAATGAAAAGGAAATCCTAAAGTACAATTTTTTTTTTTTTTTTTAAGTAAGTGCTACAACACTCATCTATGAGTTCACCATACTACAGCGGCTGGGATGTTGTTACAATACTGGAAGCTATGCCACCAGTATTTTAAATACCAGCACAATACATACAGGATAGACAGGTTTCAGCTAAGCTTCAGACTAACAAGAGAATAAGATAAACTAAGAAGAGGATAAGCATGTTTTTAATCTTCTGGATGTTTTTAGTCATGAGAAAATTTATGAAATGCAATGGAACATTCATAGAACAAAAATATTGAAGATTGATACAGGATAAACAACACAAAAATACTGTCAGATATAGTGCTGGAAGATGAGCCCTTCAGGCTGCAAGGTAATCTTAGGAAGACTGGGAAAGAGCTGCCTCTAAAAAGCAAAATTCACCATAATAATTTGAATGGAATAAAGCTTTCATAACTTTTTTCTGCTGATGGGGCACAACTCAAAACGAGGAGAAACAGCTGTAAACAACCATTAATAATCTAAACATGTAATATAAAAAGTATGGAACTAGTAGACAGTAGAAATTGCTCATATGCAAGTTCAGGCTGAATCTGAAGAAAATTAAAACAAGTCCACAAGAGCCAAAATTTGACCTTAAACAAAATTTAGAGATCATCTCAAGAAGAGATTTGATACATTAGACACTAATGACCATAGACCAGAAGAACTGTGGGATGATGTTAAAAACATCACACGGGAAGAAAAAAGCAAAAGGTCAAAAATCAATGTCAAAAGAAGAAGACTCAATAGCAACTGGAGGTACATAGATAATACAACTTTGCCTGTTGGACGCAAAGGGGACTTGAAATACTTCCAGATGAAGATCGACCTTCAGTATGGATTGTACCTCACTGAAAAATGAAAATTCTCACAACTGGACTAACAAGCAGCATCCATATAAATGGAGAAAAGACTGAAGTTTTCAAAGACTTCATTTTGCTTGGATCCACAGTACTCATGAAAGCAGCAGTCATGAAACCAAACAATACATTGAATTAGGTAGATATCTGCAGCACGAAATCTCTTTGAAAGCAGGATAGTGAGACTACGCCACTCATACTTTGGATATATTATCAGGAGGGACCAGTCCCTGGAGAAGAACATCATGCTTGGTAGAGTGGAAAAGTCAGCAAAAAGGAGGAAGAACCCTAATGAGAGGCAGGAACAGGACCGGCCAGTGTTTCATTCTTATGTGCGTTAAGGTCAATGAGTTGGAACCAAGTCACAGCACCGAACCACAACAAAATGAGTGCTATAAAAGAAAGTTAAAATTATTTTACATACTTTTAGGATGTTGTTGTTAAGTGCTGTCGAGTCGGTTCCAACACGTAGTGACCCTGAATATACTTTCCGAGGAGTGGCTATGGAGCTTGAACCACCAGTCTTGTAGTTCAAACCAAGCTTGTGGCTCAGTATTTATGCTACAGCGGCATACCTCTAGGCCTCCAACAGACATGCTATTGTTGTTAAGTGTTGTCGACCTTGTGGTTCACACTAACCTTAAGTCAAGAGATTATATCCTATAGCTCCATACCAGTTCTAATATCGAGAAAGCCCATACTATCTTTCTATTGCTGCATGTCCCCTCATTTTAGTTATTTACTAAAATTCTCCCCATGTCTCATGTTTAAAACCTATTCAAAGATGATTCCTAGTTTCAGTGAAGTGTTTCAAAGCATAATCTGCAAACTGGAGATAAAGAAGCTTTTGTGAAATTCTGGCAAAGAGAGAACACATGGAACATACTACTGTAGCAAAAACGATGATAAAATTTCTTTTCATGTTACAATCTATGACACACTCTTTACTGTTATAGTTTATCGATAATAATAAGTGCAAAAGAAAAAATAAACTTTTATAATTACCATATACTTCAAAAAATAACATGGTACCATAAAGTAAAAATCATATTATATACAGATACATTAGTTTTGATTTATAAAACCCATTATTCCCAACATACTACTTGTTTCATCCAAATGCACTGCAGTTACAGAACCGTATCAAAAGCTCCAGAATTTCAACTATTTTGCAAACTTTTAAACAATACTGAGTACATTTTTATTTATTCTATTATGACAGGTTTATTTTGATTGCATACAAAAAGATAGTCTTAAGTGTAGCAAAAACATGAAAAAATTAAATTACTGATGAATTAGGAACTGAAAATTTTTAATTATAAATTTTATAACCAACAGTAAGGATTTTGCATGATTTTTATCTGAAAAATTACCTTTTTAACATTAAAGCCAAATCTTACCATTTCTCTTCTTCTTTCTTCTTCCCGCTCAGCCTCTTTCTCATATTCACGGGTTTTCTTCCGTTCTCTGATTTCCCAATTCTTAAGGCGCTTAAAAAAAAAAATCATCAGCAAAGTTTTAAAAATATTATCCAAAGAGTTCCACAAATTTTGACATCTACCCAATATCAGGCTGCATAAAATAAAACCATTTTTCAATTTACCTCTTGATAAGCAGCTTCTTTCTCTCGGAGTTTTCTTTCAAGTTTTCTCCGCTCATATGCATCTTCTTCATCCTCTTCTCGGTCCCGTTTCTTGTCCTTTTCTCGTTCTCTCTCGCGTTCTCTTTCCCGTTCTCTCTCTCGCTCCCGTTCTCTCTCTCGCTCCCGTTCTCTCTCTCTTTCCCGCTCCCGTTCCCTTTCACGGTCTCTGCTCTTCTCTCTATGTAAATAAAACAAAAACCTGCCAGTTAGCCTCATGTTTTCCATAAAAACTCACAGCAAAGGTAAATTACATTGTTTAGCACATAAATTGTATAGAACTGTAATCATCAGGAAGACAAGACTATAATTCTAGCTCTATATTCAAACTGTATTCTAAATTCAACATTTACTGACATTTCAAAAAACAAAGTAGAATACATATTATTTACAATACATATTGTAGATCCCTGGTGTGATGCTGCAGGATAAGCAGTAAACTGCTAACCTCAAGATAAGCAGTTCAAACCCACCAGCCACTCCTTGTAAAACATACACAGGGTTACTGAGAGTCAGGACCACCAGACAATACTTAACAACAACAAGGTCAAATCTATAAAGCATAATATATTCAGGAGATTCTACCTTTAATTCCTGTCCTTTTACTCTGTTCTTTCCCTTTGTCTATCTGTTACAACAACCAATTTTGTACAGTTTAAAATTCACTAAATGTAAAAACATTACAAAGAATTGAAAAATGATTAAAGAATGGTTGCCTAATGCTGGACTTCTATAGTCAATCCCATAATGCTGTAAGAGGTTCAGGGAATTCACCAAAGAAATACAAAGTGCTAATCAAAATGTTAAAAGTAACAGGGTGATACAGACGGGCAATTTAGACATTGGCTACCTAAAATAGGATGGGACAATACAGGCACAAAGTGGCTGGCTTACAAGTAAGTTACCAAGGGGGAGTTTAGTTTCAGAGTGTTGGGGGGAGGGTAGAACCCCCACTGAATAGTTTTCATCTTTTCTAGATGGGTTTGGCAAAAAGAGATGAGGATAAGATTCTTATGATTCAATAGTCACTGTTATCATTACTAATTACGATTGTCACAACTGTAAAGGTAGAAGTTTTGTAACACAAAGGGGGAGTAGTAAATCTTCCACTCCAGGAACAGAGGACCTTAGGACCATCAAGTGAGAAAATCTTGAGCAGAATGTGGGACCCTATCAAGAGAAGCAGTGACATCTGGAGGCAGGGATGAGGACATGGAGAGAAAGAGCAGCGGAGGACTCTAGACTCATGGAAAGAGAAAAGCTGTGTACTGGCAGCCATGAGGCAGGTTTGCAGAATGTGTCCTTTGGCTGGTTGTTTAAATGATTATATATTCCTGAGAGGTTTTACTTAAAAATAGAAAAAGCAAAAAAACAAAAACAAAAAACTGAATAGAAGCAAATACTGTTGAATAATGATGCACTGAGGGTATAGTAATCATTGCAACGAAATGAAATACTTTGAGTACAAAATTGATATTCTCCCATGTAAACTATCACTCAGTTCACAATGAAAGCTTAAAAAAAAAAGTAACAGTGGAGAGTGGTGGAAGTGTGTTGCACTGGCAAGGGTGTAGATAAAGGAATTTATCAACAAAAAAATATGGTGGTGTACTGGTATGGCCAATCTAATTTTATGCAGCAAACCTTAAATTAAACAGACAAAATCTAAACATCCACCAAGCATAACAACTACATATATTTACAATAGGCTCAAATTCATAATACCTATGAATAAATCTAACCAAGAACATAAAAGATTGACACAACGAAAATTCTAAGACGCTACTGCAAAAGACTGAAAGACCTACATAAATTGAAAGGAAGGGAAGACTTAGTATTATGAAATATCAACAGAGCACTCTACATATAAAACACAATCTGAATCCAAATCCCAACATATTTTACAGAAATGTAAAACCTAATCTTTAACTTAATATGAAAGTTGTTAACTGCTACTAAATCAGTTTTCAATTCAAACTCACCAGCCTATCACTGGATCTATGAATCAAAACTAACTTCACAGTACTTAACATTTGTCAGAGCAATACTGAAGAATAAAATGGGAGATCTTACAAAGCCAGATCTCAAAACATACAATTGGTGGTGGTGTTAAGGGTTGTTGTGTTGGTTCTGACTTATAGTAACCTACCTGTATAAGGTTTCCCAGGATTTAAAGCTTCCTAGGAGCAAAAGACTCCTGTTTCTCCCACGGAGTGGCTGGTGAGCTCAAACCACCACCGTTTTGGTTCATAGTCCAGCGCTTATCATATGGAGCCACTGTGCTCCAAAACATACTATGTTGATACTGTTAAGTGCCATCGAGTCACTTTTTTGAAACATAGCGAACCTCTATAGCATATCCAAGGAACGGCTGATGAGTGTTAACTGCCAACTTTGCAGATCAAACCAACATAGCAGTCCAGTGTTTATCCTACAGGGCTACACCAACAGGCCTCTCATAGACACATCATTGTCGTTATGTTGCGTCAAGTCAGTTTAACTCATAGCAACCCTCTAAAGGGTTTCTGAGGAGCAGATGGTGAGTTTTGAACCACCAACCTTGCCATTCAACCAAACTTTTGGTGCAGGGCTTATCCTACAGTCTCACACAAGGACTCATGACCCAGTGTAATAGAAATGAAAATCCAAAAATCAACCTATTTATCTACATAGCTGATTTTTGATAAGGGGTCAAAGTCCACTCAGTGGGGAAAAAAGACTCTCTTAACAAATAGTGCCAGAAAATGGTAGAAAATGCAGAAAAATGAAATGGGACCCATACCTCATACCACACAAAATGGATTAGAGAGCTCTCTGTTAATAAGCCTAAAACTATAACGTCCTGGTAGAAAACATAGAGAAAATTATTGAACCTAATTTAAAAAAAAAAAAAAAAGATTATTAAACACAAATATAAATACATGAATAGCAAAAAGAAAAGTCAGATAACTGGGACTGCATAAAAAATAAATACGTGAAACTCGTTAAAAGACTTTGTCAAGAGTAAAAAGATAGCCTACATACTGGGGTAAAAAAATCTTCATGAACAGTGATTATATCAGCAAAGAAAGAGAGGTAAGGATTGAGAACTTTCAATTGGGGAAACGTAGTAAACTGACCAGAAGCTATAAAGCAGATATAAAAGCTGTAACAGAACTATAAAGAAAGTTATGTGTGTTTTGTTTTTTTTTTAATAAAGTAATTTCTAGGAGTGAGTAACTTTGCTGTTGTTGTTAGGTGCCATCAAGTTGGTACCGATTCATAGCCACCCTTTTCACAACAGAAAGAAACACTGCCCCATCCTGGGCCAACCTCATAATTATTGCCATCTGAGTCCACTGATGCTGCCACTTTCCCAATCCATCTCACTAGGGGCCGTCCTCTTATTCTCTGACCCTCCACCTTATCAAACATGATGTCCTTCTCCAGCGACTAGTCCTTCCAGACAATATGTCCGAAAATGAGATACGAAGTTTGGCCATTTTGGCCTCCAAGGGGCACTCTGACTGCACTTCTTCCAACAGAAATCTGTTTGTTCTTTTGGCAGCCCATGGCACTTTCAATATTCTCCTCCAATAAACACCCTAACTCACAAGCATCAATTCTTCCACGGTCTTCCTTATTCACTGTCCAGCTTTCGCATGCATATGAGGTTACTGAAAATACCATGACTTGGGTCAGGCACACCTTAGTCCTCAAACTGACATCTTTGCTCTTCAACCAGATTTGCCTAATGCAATATGTCGTTTGACTTCTTGACTGCTGCTTCCATGAGTGTTGATAGTTGATCGAAGAAGAATGAAGTCCTTGACAACCTCAATCTTTTCTCTGTGGATAAAAATGTTGTTTATTGGTCCAGTGATGAGGAATTTTGTTTTCTTTATATTGAGGTGAAATCCACACTAAAGGCTGTGGTCTTTGATCTTCATCAGTAAGTATTTTTAAGTCCTCTTGACTTTCAGTAAGCAAGGTTTATCATCTGCGTATCGCAGGTTGTTAATCAGTCTTCCTCTGATCCTGATGCCACGTTTTTCTTCATATAAGACAGACTCTCAGATTATGTGCTAGGAATACAGGCTGAATAAGTATGGTGAAAGAACACAAACCTGTCACACACCTTTCTTATTTTTAAACCATTCAGTGTTCCTATGTTCTGTTCGAACAACTGCCTCTTGGTCCAGTGAAATAAGCTGTGGCAGCCCAGCTTACTTCCATAAAGACTGCTGTTGCTGTTAAGTGACATCAAGAGGGTTCTGACTCACAGTAACCCTGTAAAGAGTTTCCAAGGTGCGGCTGGTGGGTTTGAACCACTGACTTTGTAATTAGCAGACCAGAGCTTATCCTACAGCGCCACACCAAGAGTCCTCCATATATAACAGGCTAAAAGTGGTGGTGCTAGAACTGATGAAACATCAGTTGATGCTAGACATCAATGAAAGGGTGACTAGAAAAAATGCCCATCAATTCAGGAAGACAATAGGGAATCAGTAGTGCCACACTGGGTGGATACTTGTTATATGCCAACCAGGATGTTCAAACTTGTTACTTAACCAGTGCTTTATGTGTGTGTGAGACAGCAAAAAAGGCTAAGAAAATTCTTTCATCACATAAATGTAGACGCTTCTACAAATAATTGTTAACCTGAGGTTCGGTGAAAGCTATCAGAAATAGCAAGTTCTATGGAGCCTTACCTTGACCGACTCCGATCTTTATTACGGTCTGAGCTCCTTTCTCGGTCTCGGTCTCGATCTCTCTCTCGATCCCGATCTCGATCTCTCTCTTTTGTCCGGTCACGATCCCTATCCCGTTCTCGTTCCCGCTCCCGTTCCTTCTCCTTTTCTCGTTCACGTTCTCTTTCCCTTTCTCGTTCCCGTTCTCGCCTTTCTCGTTCCCTTTCACGCTCCCTCTCTCTTTCTCTCCGTTCTTTCTCAATTTCCTGTCTTTCTTTCTCCTTTTTGCCTTTCTCTTCTTCCAGTTTCTAGAAACCAATAAAAGCACTTTTAGAGTTAATTCTGTAGCTCCAGTATGCAGCTCATTCCAGGTGCTACTGCCCAATATTGGAAACAAAAATACCAAGCCACTGGTATTTTAATACTAAATTCTTATAGCTTTAACTTGACAAATCAAACAGAAGCAATCACAAAACTATAGATTTCGTGCAAACCATAATCTGTATAGACAAGGAAACTCCAATCTTGGATGCTGGGAGATTGTGTTAAGTGGCTGGCCACTAAATCAATGACTATGTCAAAACCTAAAGGATCATTGGAAAAGTGGTGATTCAAAATAAATTCAGAAATATAATCAGCCACGAAGGACTTAAACTTAAGTCTGCCTATTATTAGTTTCTGTAAATCAGTGGATTACTGGTTCTCATTATAACCCTAGACTTTCCATTACCCATAGATTAACTAGCTGAGGGCTTCAAAAGGGTTGTTTAAAGAGTCAAGTCACTATAAAGCAACAAAATAATCTTTTGCTACCATTTGCTTTTCCCACCCTCCAAAAGCAAGAGCTGAATTCAGCCACAATCTGCCTTACTCCCACCATTGCAAGATGGACAGCCCACCAGATACATAAAAGGTTTTAAAATCACTCACTCCAAGCAGAAATGTACAGATAAAATATTTTCATTTAAATTATTTTAAAAGTAACATTTATACGTATCATTCCTATAAGAAAATAAAAAAAATATCAACAATGATAAATCCATCCTTGGAAGCAACGTTGTATATTAACTTACAGATGCTGTGCTAGGACATGGATCGCCAACACTGGATTAACCTTGCCTATAAGCTATGTTTCTGGGAGGAAGAGCAAGTACATGGTTCACATATAAACCAAATAACAAAGTCAGACCAAGTTTGTACCTTGAAAAGAATACCAGCGTACCACATGGTTTCTACACAAATTAAGAAAAAAATACCCCAAACAGGAAAAACAAAATACATTTATCCCTTTGGTTCCATGTTTAGAGTCACTGAAATGAAATTTAAACTGCAGCAATAAAATGTCCATTTTGTTCTTTTCTCAGTTATGTAAAGCATTTAAAACAACTTTAAAAAGCAATCTTACCTGTTAAGACACTTTATCTCTTGATCATGGATCAGAGGACTGACAGAGAATTATGAAAAAAAAGCTAATGTATCAGAGATCAATATATTCAGTCGCTCTACCAGTCTATTTTAAAGTAGAATGCAGGCAAAGTCAATACTGAATACATTGAAATTACAAACGAAATGAAAAGAAACAAAATGGTAGAAAGAGGACACAAATGGAAAAGCTAGAGGCAGCAAAATTTCCCTTCTGAAACAATTCTAAATGAAATGTAAAAATTTAATATTGTAAAAGGATGTTAGGCTACATAAAACTTACCTCAATATCATATACACTTAAAAAGAAATTTGTTTATTTCTGAAATAATACTTACTGATTATTTTAGTTGTTCCAATATTAATTTGTAGAAATCCTTAGTTTTACTTTTGCTTATTTACTGTACTACTTATTTCTTAAGTGTTATTTTTACTTGTGTAAATAATTTATTTCAGGATTCATTTCTAAAGTTTTGTTCTAAGTAAATGAAAAAGTGAGTGAGTCTAATCAGTACTAATTGATTTTCTAAAAGGTTATATACAGAGAAGAGTACAGATGGGTATTTATACAAATATATACTTAAGACAAGCAGAAAGTCTAGAAAAAAAATGGAACAGAATGACTATAGAAAGATGTAAGAAAATGAAGTAATGAAGAGAAAAGGACAAATAAAAAAATTCATAATCTTACCTCATTCTCTCTTCAGACTCGTCCGTGCTGTAAATGGACGCCCCCTGCCACGCTGATACCCTGACAGTCTGTGGTTATTTCATAAACTCATACCAAAACATGCAAAGGTTCACTGAGCTCAATTTTTGTTTCTGGTGTTTCCAAACTTTCCCTTTTATAATACCACCCCAATAAAAAGAACTGTTTGAATTTTAGAAATTCAAACCATTCCCCTCAGTGAAAGGCAGTCAAATGCCTGACAGCTTCTCAAACTCTGAATCAAATATATTAATTTTGTTTTAAACAGATGATTCCACAAAACATAATTCCACAATGACATGACAGAGTTTAATTAACAACTACATAAAAAAAAAGGGGGGTAAACCACACACACAACTGTATACCATTTTCAAGCTTACTCAGATCCTAATCTTAAATGTTAAACCTAACCGAAAGTATTCACCTAAAATGACTATCCACAGACTACCTTTTTATTTCTTAAAAATTTGGGAGAATAACTTTTATGCTACTGGAAAAATTCAATTCAAGAAAAAGCACTGTGTATGTGAACTAGGGCTGAGTATCTGGGGAATAATAGTTCAGCATCTTGTATTCTCATTATTTGTCAACTTGGGATTTGTAAAAACAGAAAGAGTGACTGTAAACAAAAAGTGAACATTTTTCACTGAGGTCGCGATCAGTCTATGAATAAGTAACATCTTATTACCTCTAATATTGAACTATATTCATGCAATGTTTGCATTTCATGGTTCATAAAGCATTACCTTCAACACCAGCAAACATTCACATATGCGCTGTCAATGAGAGAAGCTTTCATAGGCAAAACTCGTGAGTGGGATTTACTATGCACAAATACACCATTTTCCAAGCCAGTTACCCCTTTGCATATTTTTCTGAGGGGGCATCCATAAATATAATAAAAAACAGAAGCTCATACTTACATCCTATTCCTTGTTACTTTCCAAGCTGAGTTTCATCTTGCATTAGTCACCATATGATCTCTATCATAATGGTGGGGGTCAATGAATAGATTAGCTTTATGGGAATTTACATTTCTTCCATGCATCTAAAATTTGGTAAGTCTGGTAACCACTGACCTAATTTTAAAAATTTCCCCTTCTCAACTTAAATCTATACAAATATAAACCTTAAATTTTAATTTTCGCTATAAAGAAAAGGTTTTCACAAGATTAAATTAAACTGTCCCAAGAAATATACTACAGTGTATGTCATCCTGCGGCCCCCCCTAAATCTAGTTTACTAGATTTCTTGATGTCATGTTGAAATCTTTCAAAAAAATCAAAAAGCACCTTTCATTCATATTAAAGTGAGATGACTGCAGAGTAATCAGTAACTGAAAAGAATTAAGCACACTATGCAAGGGTCACTTTAATATGGCATTAGTCTTCTGTTTCTTGGTTTCTATCTAATTATCAATTAAACCTATAAAAAGTATTTAAAATTAATTCTACTGTATGGTTGATTTCCTTTTTGTCTGTTTGCTTTGGATTCTGTAAAAAGTCTAGTTTGGAATCAAGAGAACAAAATAAGAATACTACCTTATGTGTGTCTCTGAATTTGCTGATCTCTCGGGATATCAGGTCTCTTTTGTCTTCTTCCATTTCTATAGCATTTATATCCTCCTAAAAGACAAGTGGGACAGAAGGGAATGCGTAAAAAGCAGTGGGCAACCATACACAAAGACAAATTCAGGCTTACAACAGATATGATAACTAGACTGTGTACAATAGAAAATCTAGAAATCTGAAGTTAAACATTGAAAGACCAAATGGGCAAGTATCGCAAAATGACACATAGCTATAAGCATGGTTAATTTTAAAGCCTACAAGGTAAACTAACCTTAGTGATGAGTGGATACGGGATCAGAGGGGCAACTGGAAATCTGCGGAAAATCTGCGGAAAAATTCATGAAGGTTATTTTTAAAAAGAGCTCACACTACTCTGCAAAATAGTAAAAACAGTGCTCTGTTTTATAAGAGAATGAGTCAAAAATTATCCGCACTCGGGCTGTAGAATTGTTTTAATCAACTTTCAGAAAAGACAAATAAAGAATTTTTTTGACATAATCTGCTTGCTTTGCAATACACTTTGTCCATCTGTCAACAAGCTTTCATATTCCCTTATTTTAGACTGAGCTGCGAGTCACGAATGCACCGCTGTCTTCACTTCTTCATTAGAGATGACCCTTCATCCTTGAAGGTGTGCTTTCAAGGGACCAAACAGGTGAAGTCTGATATAGAGCATGATCAGTACTATAGGGAGGATGTTTAAATCCCTCAAAATGAGGTTTTTGCAGTGTCGACAATGTTGGTCGAGTTATGTGGATGTACACTGTCATGCAAGATCACAATGCCCTTGGATAGCAGTCTTCTGCATTTAATGTGAAGTTTGGGCTTCAGATCATTAGCGAGTATCTCAATGCAATGAGCACTGTTGATTGTTTAACCTTTTTCTGATAGTGTTCCAATACTGTGCCTTGAGAGTCCCAGAAAACTGTAAAGCATCGAGTTTCTAGCTGATGGTTGCCTTTTGGACTTTTTCTTGGTCAGCGATTGAAGATGTTTCCATTCTAAATTCTTTCTGTTTACTCTCAGGCTTGTTGTGATGAATCTATGTCTCGTCAACAGTAACGATTTTTCTAAAACAACTTTTACCTCCTTTCGAATATTGGTCCAAATTTTGTTTGCAGATGTTCAAATGCATCTGTTTGTACTTCAGTGAGTTGTTTCAGTATCTGTCTCACACAAACTTTTCAAAAGCCAAGTGGATTCTTTCATAGGCAAATCCATGGCTAACTGCAAATGACTTGCCACACAATCCAGTCACTCATCTATCTGACACAATCATTTCACATGCATGCTCAATGTTGTCATCAGCTGTGGAAGGGCATTTTAACATAACCGGGGTGCAGATAACTTTTGACTCACCCTTGTACTTCAAGCAATATAGTATTTCTGTGACGTTTTCTTGACAGTTGAAAAGATTTCAATCACTCTCTCTATCCCCATCTCCCATTACCTACTTTTTTCTCTTCCTCCAATACCCCATTAACATTTTAATAGGGAAGGTATGGCACAATGATAAGCACTAGACTGCTAACTTCAAGGTCGGCAGCTCAAACCCATTAGCTTCTCCTCAGACACCTTATACAGGATGCTTGAAGATGGAAGCAACTCAAACAATGACACTTAACAGCAGCAACAACGATACAACGATGATACAGGGATTAGTGTTCAGCTCTAATCAAAAAGTCAGTGGCTTGAAACACCAGCCACTCCACAGGAGAAAGATGTTGCCGTCTACTTCTGTAAGGATATACAGCCTTGACAACCTAAGGGACAGTTCTACTTTGTCCTATAGTGTCATTAAGAGACAGCAATGTGTTGAGTTGGAAGGAATACAACAAACCTAGGAAGAAAGGCCTTGCAAACTACTATAGAAAATTAGCCAGATGGATACACCTGTTCCATTTGCAGCTGATCATGGAGCAGCACAGGATACATCAACATTTCATTCCATTGTGCACAGGGAGGTGACTGGACAGCAGCTAACAATACACTAAAACATGACCTGTCCCCAACCTCCAAAATATAGGAAACAATTATACCAACAAAATTTACACAAAATTCTTACCACAAGGCAAGACTTCTTTGATTCCTTCCTCCCAACTCAAATGAAACCAATTAGTTGTTTTTCTTCTTCCACATTACCTTAACAGATCAGCAATATAGGTTTCAATTACTCTATACCTGACTATAAACTTGAATAAATTATTGTTAAGTGCCGTCGGTTCTGACTTATAGCAAACCTGTATAAGGTTTCCAAGGAGCTTGAACCAACGACCTTGAAGAACAAATGACCTCGCAAGTCTAGCACATTAACCCATGGCGCCACACCAGGACACCTAAATAAATTAGCACCAAAAAATTCCAGAAAGAGCCTACTGGCCCAGTGGATTAAACATGGGCTGCAAACTGAAAGCTTGGCAGTTTGAACCCACCAAGCCCCTCAATGGGAGAAAGATGAGGCAGTCTGCTCTGATAAAGAGTGAGTCTTGGAAACTCTATGGAGCAGTCCTACTACGTACTCTAGGGTCACTATTGGAGTCAAATCAACACCAGTGGGTTTTAAACATTAACACAATTTCAAAAAAATTAGAACTTCACTAAATGGTTTTTTATGACCATCAGGAAGAATGGAGCCTACTCTAAGGTACTAAAACACAAATAATAATATGATCCATAAATATCTTAACAATCACAAAGTTCTATAGAACTTTTTCATAAAATATATAATAAGTGAATATAAAATGTTTCTAATTTTTAAAAGAATATGTCCTAGAATTTCCCCAAGTTTATCCAGAGGAATGAGTATAGGAGAACGAGACGTTTCTGGACTGTTTAATCAGCTTAGCTGACAAAGTAAGGAGTAGACTGGGGAGGAGGGTTTTACCATGCACTCCTCTCTCACAGTCCCTCAGTCAGAGGTTCCAAAGGTGACTGAGACTGGGTTTCTAAAGAGTGGACAGCTAAAAATTAAAGAATCAGTAAAACCCTCAATTTAGAGACATGCCTAGAAAAGGACAGAACAACTACAATTATGAGGCTAAGGCAAAACAGGGCTACCCGTTCATTTTGCCTTCAAAAGGTAAAATGTAACCAAAGCACAAGAGTGCCACCATACAAAATAAACTGCAATAATTACAGCATTGGCAGAAATCAGTAACACATACGTCCTCTTTCTTCTCCTTCTTCTTCTTTCTAGGGTGAGAGTCAGATTCCTGTGAGGGGGCGTTCAGTTCACTAGAGTATTCACGTATTAATACTTCAATTGCCCCTTTAATCATCTGATCTCTTCTCTTTGTTTCTTCATCTAAGGCTTCTTCATCATCAGTAGCAGCAGCAGCAGCAGCAGCAGCAGCAGCAGCAGCAGCAACAGTCTCTGGCCTTGCATTCTTAAGCAACAAGGCAAATTCAAGAGAAAGAGAAAGGGGAAAAAAACAATAAAAAATAGAAAATTAAAATCATTCTAATACACAAGCTGACAAACAAAAATGAAAAAAAAAAGTTATCCAATATATCTCCATGGTCCCATTAAATATGTAGCTGGCCCTGTTTATAAACTTATTAAATAAAATTTCATTTGCTTTATTGAATTTTTTCCTGAGACACTGGTACTTTATCATTTTCTTTTCTTTTCCCTTGATAGCCATAATTCTGGCTCTTAACCAGCTAAAACCATAAAGGAGCAGGACAATCATTTCAGATGTTCTTGCTTAATAGTTGTACAAATTAACAATATTAACTAAAAAATTGATTCCTATAAAAACAGTAAACATTTTGACAATTTAGTTATAAAAAACATACACATAATGCATATAATTTCATATATATATAATTTCAGGTAAACTCTAACACCCACCATGTAAAGCAAATAAAAGCACAGTTTGCTGTTAAGTGCCATTAAGGCAGTTCCAACTCACGAGTGACCCTGTACAGGGTTTCTGACCAACCCTGCTGTTAGCAGTCTATTACACCAGGACTGGAAAAGTACGTGCAGGGTAAACAAACAAAAAAGCAGTAGACAACTAGAGACACCAAAATGCAAACATTTGATTAGGGGCTGAACTCAAGTCCCTGGCCCTGCCTGCTCCGGATAAACCCATTTTCTGTAATTTTTATAATACTGAAACAGCACTTAAAAAAGCAAAATAAAAAACAAAAAACAAACATATTTATAGTAGGAAATCAACTTTAAATACTACACAACTCTTCCCCCCTCCATGTACTGAGCATGAGCACTGTAAAAATTAAACTATTTCTCTATGAAAAAGCTGGCTTCTAATGGAGTCCCGTTGTGGCGCTGTGGGTTAACGCGCTGGACTACAAAGTTTGAACCACAAGGTTGGCAGTTCAAGCTGACCAGCCACTCCTTGGAAACCCTATACAGGGTCGATATGGGTTGGAACCAACTTGACAGCACTTAACAATAACAATCAGCTACTTGCTTCTCTCTTAATTTTAAATGATTTTAAATTCCCTGACTAATGAATTAATATAATTGAAATTGCAAACAAAATGTAAAGAACGACGTCAAAACACTGGATAATTTCCAATGACTATTAATGATTGGATTCTTAGAAAGAGGAAATGTTTGGCAAAGAATCAACAGATAAAAGTCACTTTTATCTTTGTCGTTTAAAACTACACACTCAAGTGTCAAATAAATGTTAAATACCATTGAGTCGTTTCTGATTCATAGGGAGCTTGTATCATTATATATCCAAGGAGCAGCTGGTGAGTATGAACTGCTAATCTGCAATTCACAGGCCAGAACTGTTTCTGTAGTGCCACACCAGGAATCCACCCCAAATATACACTTAGTAAATATATCCTGATTATTCTCACATATTCAACAAAATAACCATGGATATATGTACAACTGTGATTATTAGTCAAAATATATACAATACTCTTCATAGAAAATTTTATAACTTGCTGACTTCATCCTAAATAATAACAAGTAGCAGTGATTTCAAAATTCTACCAACAGCATTATGAATACTTTGTCCAAAGGATATTGAACACAAATTTTTGTCTTAAATTAGCTTGCTCAACAAATTCTTACTAAAGTACCTACTGTATGCAAGTTGCTGCTAGATGGCATAAAATTCAATATTGAATAAAAGAGATAATAACCTTGCCCTCAAATGTCTAAAAATGTCTAACTAGTTAGGAGATGTGTTATAACATTGGTATCTCCAATATAATGCAGTACATAGTGTTATGGAATTAATCATTATAAGTAAGTTTCTTATTTTCTCAAACCTGCTTCTTCATTCAATCTTTTTGTAGCACTATGGTGCTTTGGGGTTAATGCTGTACTGCAAAGTTGGTTTGAACCACAAAGTTGGTGGTTCAAAGTCACCAGCTGCTCCATGGAAACGCAATAAAGGGTCACTATGGGTCGGAAACAACTTGATGGCACTTAACAACATAATCGCCAGATTCAAAATGGCCAGTACCAGTTCCTTTCAGCTCACTAATGCCTAGGATATTGACCTTTATGTTTTCCATTTCATTTTTGATAACCTAGAATTTTCTTAAGATTCATACTTCATACAATCCGTGTTCTGAATAATGGATGTTTGCAGCGGATTCTCCTCATTTTGAATTGTTGCCCCATTAGCAAATGAAGGTCCTGAAAGCTTTACTCCATTCACATCAAGGTCAACTCTACTTTGAAGAGGAAGCTCTTCCCCAGTCTTATTTTGAGTGCCTTCTAACCTGAGGGGCTCATCTTCCAGCAGTATACCTACCAACGTTGTTGATGTTGTTAAGTGCCAACTGAGTGACCCTGCATAGGGTTTCTTTTCAAGGAGCAGCTGGTGAGTTTGAAGTCCCAGCCTCGTGGTTCAAACAAACCTTGCTGTCTAGTGCTTAATCCTACAACACCACACCATGACACCTAACAACATTCTGGTACTATTAATTCATTTTCCGTCACTGTTCCTGATAATGTTCTAATATTATTTATAAGGAAACATTCAGAAGTAGTCTGCCTCTTCTTCTTCCTAGTCTGTAAGCTCAGCTAAAACCTGTCCATCTTAGGTGACCCTGCTGTTATTTAAAATACCAGTAGCATAGCTTCCAGCATCATGCCTACACATAAGCTACCACAGTATGACAAACTAATGGACAAATGACTGAAGTCTTTCCATGGCTACCTCAAAAACCCCTTTATGGTGACTCCGGCTATATGGAGGACTAGGTATTATGCATTACAGGGAGCCTCTACAACAAAAATATGTGAGACAAAATTAAACAGACACAGACGAAAATTCTGGCACCCTGGACTTCAGAAGAAAGATTAGAGAGGTGGATAGAGTACTTGCTAGGAGGAGAGGCTGAGCAGGCACTGTCAGAGAGGGAAGACTGACTAATGAACAGTCAGCCAGACGTGGCTCCACTGTTTTGTGAGGAGCTTTGACAGCAGAGATAGGTCTGCCAGTGCAGATTCACACAGGGGATCAAAAAGCTGCAATCTCTTCATATCAAGAAGGTGAAGACAGTCTATATGCCCATCCACAGAAGAATATCCAGGCCAAACAAACTTTACGTTATACACACAATGGAATACTGCAAAATGCTGGAGAAAAAGGATGAATTCCTCACAACATAGTTGTACCTAGAGAACATTATGCTGAGTGAAATTAAGACAAGGACAAATATTGTATGGGACCATCGTTATGAAAAGTTAAAAAAAAAAAAAAAAAGCACTGCAATTAAATGAGATACCATGAGTGTAAAGCTGATGTTCTCCTATGTAAACGATCACTCAACTCACAATAAATACTTAAAAAAAAATAAAAAAGGTTTTCCTGATAAGCAATCTATGATAGTTATGGGGATGGAGAAACTATTTATGAGCTAAAGGATAACATGTTAACATGGGTGACACAGGGCAGGCAATATACAAGAGGGAGGTGAGCAGAGGAAAGATGAAGGTAGCAAGAGACACAGGGAGAAATGCAGTAGTTAAAATGAATAGAGACATATACTGTTAACAGTTGGTACATGAAGGGGGATAGCAACCACCTAACGAAGAAATTATATGAGGTGTTAAATGTAAAACTGACCTGCTCTGTAAATCTTCACTCACTTCACAATAAAAGTTGCAGGGAAAAAAAGGGTGTGCGCTCTTCTTTTTCCCTCACTCTCACCTGGTGACCAGAAGAATGGCCAGCTCCCACCCTCATCCACCCTCAGTGAAGAGCCTGCTCCCAAGAAGTTTGGAGTACCGTGGCTGGGAGCCAAAGAAGTGTGAGGTGGAGCAGACTGTGCTGCTTTGGAGTGACACTTGGGTGCCTGCATTCAGGTGGGCTTGGCTCCAGACCTATAAAACCTGAAGAGCCACCAGACCAACATTTAATCAGGTCCCTGTGGTCTTAACATACAATGGCCCCATGAATGACTTCCATATAGAATGCCATGATCATAGATACCTCTGAGACCAGTAAGAACTCCATCTAGGGCCAGGAAGTCTGCTGTCACATCCTTTTCACACAAGCTCCTTAAACTGCAGGAGCCTCCTATACATTTCTCCTCTGTGGTCCAACAACTGCATTATTTACTTTTAAACTCCACAATGCCCCGGAGACAACAAACAATTTTAGCTCACACACAGAAACAAGTTAAATTGGCTCAAAAATTTGACCAAGATGCAGTCAGAACAACAATTCTAAGAAGGAAGAGGTAATAGAACTAACAGGAAAAGAATCCCAAAGATACTAATTAAGTAACTTCAAAGTAAGGACAGAAAGATCCAGGAAAGCAAGAAGAACACAATAAAAACACTGTAAGAATTCAGAAAAATACTACAAGTACAAACACACAAAATAAATGCAAATTTTGAAACAATACAAGACTAGCAATTAGAAATCCAGAAATGAACAATGCACTGAAAGGGCAAAGGACTTGATGTGAAGCAACGGAAGCCCGAATTAGAGAGCTTCAAGAGAAATTGCTCAATAATAGTATGCTAGAAGATTACTCTTGAAAAAAAGAATGAAAAAATCCAAAGATAGCCTAAGAGTTATATGGGACACCATGAAGAGGAACAACTTACAGGTTATTGGAATTTCAGAACAGAAAGAGAGAGAGCTAAGAGAAAGCTATCGATGAGTTGTTGGAAGAAAACATCCCTAACATCATGAGACAAGAAGATAAAGCATACAAGCAGTTTGGGGAAAAATGAAGTTACCTACAAAGGAGAACCAGTAAGACTAAGCTCTGATTTCTCAGCAGAAACCATGTAGGCAAGACAATGGAATGACTTATATAAAACTTTGAAAGAAAAAGATATACTCAGCCAAAGAGCTGTCCCTCAAATAAGATGGCGAAATTAGGGCATTTCCTGATAAACAGAAATTAAAGGAGTTTATAATGACCAGACCAAATTTGTGAAAAATGCTAAAGGGTGTTCTTTGGACTAAGAACCAACAATAGCAACCAACATGACCTGAGATTACCAAACATGTCATCACCACTCAAACTCAATCCATATATAGGAGGATTTAAAGTAAAACAAACCTACAAGACTTTGAAAACAGGGAACCAGTGATATCAATGTATAATGAAATCAACTAAAATCAAAAAGAGGGAATATTGTAGATTCAGAATTTACAAACGACAAGGAAGTCAAGTAGATCTTAAGATAAAACAAATTGCTTTAAGCAGGAAAAGAAATAATAAATTACAGGGTAACCTCAAAGAAAAACATGTATGATCTGTTGAATGTAAAACCGATGGTTTGCTCTGCAAACCTTTAACCAATGCACAATGAAAAAAAAAACAAATAAAAAAACAACCCTTCATGATACACACTTCTGATTTCAATTTTTTTATAAAATTAATTCTCCAATAACCTAGCACTCATACAAAAGGTCTGCTATTTCAAATAAAATGCTCAGATTTTGAGACCTAAATTCTACTTTGTAGGAAGCAGCAGTCAGTCTATCAATGGCATTTTTCCTACTTCCTGAATTAGCTTCCCATGAGCCTGCCACATTTCTATGCTTTTGTAAGAAGAGTGACAGACGTAAGACTACGAATCCAGAGCACTACTTACATAAAAGGTGTCCTGGTGTGGCACTATGGGTTAATGGACTGGACTGCAAGGTAGGCAGTTCAAGTTTATCAGCCACTCCTCAGAAACTCTATACAGGGTCACTATGAGTCAGAACAACAATAAAACCAGAATTACATGTATACCAACTAGAAAAATAAAACACTCAAGTGATGCCTGTTTCAATTCCATTTTATCTGAAATAATTGTTCTATATGTTTTTATTGGGAAGAGATTAAATTTACATTTTTTACTTCATAATTTATTATACGTTTTGTTGGAGATTTAATTCATTTCCATTCATAAAGAAAGAAACAATTTAATTTGCCATCTTGGTAATGACAAATTAAATCCAAAGTAAATTTCCTTGCTTACTTAAATGTATTACAAGATGATTTACCTGGTAGTCATAGAATCTCAAGGGGAGATATGGGCTACAAACTACATGTAACAGAGCAGAAGAACATATAATGTTATTGTTAAGTGTTAAGTTGATTCCAACTCCTAGAGACACGATATATGGTTTCCAAGGAGCAGCTAATGGATTTGAATCACTGAATTTGTGTTATCAGTCCAGTGATTATCCTATAGCACCACAACAGAATTCGGATATATAACAATAAAAGTTGCTTTATATTGAACACAGAGAATTCTGCCTCAGGATTGAGGGATTGGTAATGAGAGTATGAAACAAGGAATATTTTAACTATAATTCTAAGGACAGAATTTCAACGGAGATTTGAAGAGGCAACAAAAACATGAGATCAGTAAAGCACAGGGTGAGGAGGAAAGCTACAAATAGAAAGGCAGATTGGGGCCAGTCTTAAACACTAGGCTAAAAGCTGGGACTCTGATGATACAACTACACTTATGCTTTAGAAATACAGGCAGTACTCGCAAAGATAAGAGGAAACAAAGCTCAGGGACAACAGTTAAGATATTGTCCAAGGAAAAATGTTGTTGTTAAGCGCTGTCGAGACAGTTCCAACCCATAGCGTCCCTATATAGGGTTTTTTAGGAGCAGCTGGTGAGCTTGAACAGCCGATCTTGCAGTTCAAATGACTTTGCAGTCTGGCACGTTAACCCAGTGCCACACCAGGAGTCCCCAAGGAAAAATAGGGTTAAGTTAAAAAAAAGAACAAACCAATACTTAGAATTCAATCATTTTTGTGAAAGATAAACAAAAAAAGCTCACATATTTCCATTAAATCTGTATTTGTGTGAGGAAAATTACACCCCCAAAATGTCTACTTAACAGAAATGAAATTATAGCTATTGTAATTCCCTTTTTTATATCTCAGTATATTATGCGATTTAAAAAAAAACAAATAATACAATGTTTTTATAATGATGGAGAAAAAAAGCTATAGGTTTTCAAGACAGCTAATGAGATTTTTAATACAGAGCGAAAAGACTACTTTTTCTTCTATTTTTTGTTTTGTCGGGAGAAAACAGCTTGAGGTACAAAACCAAACGAGAAAAGGAAAGGACAAAAAAATACATTCAAGCCTGAGCTATTTTTCTGTTTCCTTAGGAAGGGGTACAAATTACATTTTGACACAACACACAAATTTTCTTTTACTTAAGCTTCACTTAATATAGTCTAAATAAAGCCATTCAACTGAGGAATGTAACAAAAAACGTATTTCTGCTCATCTTAGAACTTCTGTACTTCTAAAAGAAGGCAACTATTAAAAATTGTGTAGGTTGAAATATATTATATACTTACTTACAAAGCTGCCTTAATGAATTAGCTCTGTTTGGAATACTCTGTACCAGTGTTTTCTCTGGTAAGTTAACCTTGTCCAGCCTCCCTTACTACTTTCATCCCAACCTGGAACAAGCAAATCAACAGTCATCCACCCACTGTGGGTAGATAGAAGACTTAAAATAACTACAAACTATAAAATACCCTCCTGCATTTTAGCCACAGACATGTATTATGATTATCATATGTATTAACATCTTGTGAAGCCCCACCTAAGATTCATTTAAAGAAAAGCATTTACCCTGACATAGCACAACTGGCTTAGCAAGGTAACTATTAAAAACATACCCCATTAGAAGCCTTCTTCTTTGCTTTCCATTCATCCAGTTGTGCCTTTGTCTTTGCATCAACTTTAACAAGCAGCTTCTTCTCTCCAATCTGCAGGTCATGTAATAACCTGAGTGCACGGAGGGTAGATTCAGGCTCCTTATACTCACAGAATCCAAAGGCTAGTAATGGATGTAAAGAATTAGTGAAACATCAACACAATTATGAAAGATGAAAACAAAATTATAGAAAAATAATCACTAGAGACCAAATAAAACACAAGGCTCATATAAGCCCTCATCCCTCCCCTTTCCCCTTCAATGCCTTTGGTAAGCTTTTCACTTTCATTAGCACAGGACATATTTTTTTTAAATCCTTTTTATCTTTTAGAGACACACACTAAAATATTTCGAGACATGATCAGGTATACTTGGGAGCTATGAGTCAGGTACAGATGATGCATAAATGGCCATGAGTTTATAAATGTTAAAACTGGGAAAGGAGTTCATGGGGATTCATCATACTATTTTGTCTAATTTTTACAACATATGGAACTTTCCATAATAAAAACATTAAAAAAAATATGTAACCAACAATAACTACCTTGTTCTTCCATGCTCCTCCCCCTTCTTGTGTACTGTACTCCCCAACACCCAAACTAAGATGCGTTCATCCCCTACCCTGTACTCTACCAAACTCTCCCCTCCCTCCCACCCTGGTAACCAAGAAAGGATTTTTTATTTTTATTTTTTTAGTATGGGTATCCTTCCTTAAGCTTAATTTCACTCCACATAACTGCAACTGTCACAACTGTAAAGGTAGAAGTTTTGTAATATAAAGTAGTTAATCTTACAGTCCAGAACAAAGGAACCCAAGACCATCAAGGGAGAAGAGCATGTGGGACCCTATTTAGAGAAGCAGCAACACCAGAGATGGAGACAGAGATGATGATATGGAGAGAGAGTGCAGCTGAGGACTCTAGACTCAGGGAAAGAGAAAGACTGTGTTCACAGCTGGCAGCCAGGAGGCAGACTTGCAGATTTTGTTCTTTGGTTGCTTAAATGATTGTATATTCCTGAGTGCTTTTGTGTACTTCAAAAGAAAAACAAAACAAACAACAACAACAAAAAAAAACACAACAACAGAGGGAATAGAAGCAAATACTGTTGAATGAGGATGCATGGAAGGGAATGTGATCATTGCAATAAAACGAAATACCATAGGATAAGTGTAAAACCAATGTTTTCCTATGTAAACTATCAATTCCCAAAAACTCAAACAATAAATTAAAAAAAGAAAAGAAAATCAGGTAATAGCAAAAAATATATATCTATATAACCATCAACTATATGAGATCTAAAGGGTGGCATTTACCCAGGGATAAAGCTTGGAAGGCAGGGAGGGAAAGAAAGAAAAAAAAGAATGGAAATGGGAAACATAGGAAGGAAGCAGAAGAGCGCTGCTACAGAGTGGGGATTACAATCAGTATCACAAAACAAAATGTGTATAAACTATTGAATGGAAAACCAATTTGCTTTATAAACTTTCATCCAAATTACATATTAAACAAAAGAATAAACAAAAAAGTGTTTCTACCAGTATTAGAATAATTTGCTTTCCAAAGCAACAGGCCATTATGTAATCTTTTATTCTATTCTATTATTATGATTGTTACACATATATTAATGCAGTCCCACTGAGACAAAAAGTACTTTTAAAAGTAATCTTTAAAAAAAGCACTAATGGTTGGAAATGTAAAGGTAGATGTTTTGCAGCAAGGAGGGGAGTGATTTACTTTGCAGTCTAGGGACCATCAAGGCAGAAGAGCGGAGAGCAGGACCCTACCCAGAGAAGCAGTGATGCCTGAGATAAAGGCAGAGACGATGACACAGCGAGGGAGAGGGGCTGTGTGCTGACGACCAGGGGGCAGGCTTGTAGTGTATATACTTTGGTTGGGTGATGATGCGTGGAGGGGATTGTAACCATGGCAATGAAACGATATACCATAGGATGAATGTAAAACTAATGTTCTCCCATGTACACTATCACATAATTCACAATAAAACATTTAAAAAAAAAAAGCACTAATACAAATTCTGAGAATTTGTTTTTTTCCCTTACATACCTCACTCCTGATACATTTTTCTACTTTCTACTCTCAACTCAGGCATCTTCCCAAGTGACTTTTATTCCTATTCAATCAGACAAAGAGCACTAATAGAACATCTCCCATGGTTAAGAACAATGAGCATGAAACATGCAAACACTAATTTAGCACACAGGTTAAAATAGTCCCAACAAATAAGGAAAACATTACCTACCCTGAAGTTTCCCAGAAGCACCTTGTACTCTCTTCCAGCTCAAAACCAAACCACATTTCTTAAAAACAAAACAAAACAAAATCACCACTTAATAAAAACAAAAGCACAATTATATTCCCAAGAACCCAAGTGTTCTACAGTAAAAAACCAGTTGCCAGAGTCAACTCTGACTTATGGTAACCTATTAGTACACACAACTCTATGTCAGTGGGTTTGGGTTTGGCTTTAATGACATGGAAAACTGCTGCATACAAATCAAAAAATAGCAAACCCCCTGCCATAGGCTCATAGCAAACCCGACAGGACAGAGCAGATCTTCTCCACAGGGTTTCAGAGACTGTCAATCTTTACAGCACCAGACATTCTCATCTTTCTCTTATGGAGCAGCTGGTGGGATTGAATCATCAACCTTGCTGTTACCTGCTCAAAACTTAACCCACTGTTCCACCAGGGCTCCTTATGTTGGATAGGTCCTTGTTAAATACCGTCGACACAGTTCCAACTCTTAGCACCCCTGTGTAGGGTTTCCAAGAATGGCTGGTCAGTTTGAACCACCAACCTTAGCAGTCCAGTGCTTATCCTACAGCACCACACCAGAACTCCTATGTTGGATATAGTATGTGTGTGAGGGGGGCAGGAGGAAGACCACGGTTACGTAGAAGAATGTTCTACCTCTTAAGAACTTACAATGTCACAGTTACTCTTAAATTGAGAAAAAAGTGTGGGAGCTGTGTGTATGTACCACATATGGCAAAAGCTGTTGACTGACTAAGAATGGAAAAAGGCATGTTGTTAGCTGATTCTGCACACATGGGACTGCTAGGCCTGTCTTTCAATGAACCTTTGGGTGGGATCAAACCACCAATCGTTCAGCTAGTAAAGTGCATAACTGCTTGTGCCACACCAGGATTCCTAGGTACAGAATACAACTTTTCTGTAATATTAAGTTTTCCAAATAAAAAGTTGTAGTAACATTATCACTTTATGTCTGCTTTTCTCTTTTTCATAGATTTGAAATTCCTAGAATTTTTTTAGATGAAAAATAAACAGTTTAACTTACAGCTAGGAGCTGTCTTATAAGCATATCTGAGGCTTTCTCTGAAATGTTGCCAACAAAAACTGTAGTAGTGGGACCACAATTTTCATCGTTTTCTTTACTTTTTAAACCTGGATGATCCTTTCTTGCTCCTAAATGCTTTCCAACCATGGAAACAGTGGGTACCAAAACCTAAGGTAAAGAAAAGCAAAAAAAATGGATCTGACAATTTTCCAATCAAGGTTAGACTAAAAATATCAATTCTAATGCAATATGATGGTGCTTCAAAAAGTTAATGGAAAACAGAATGAAGAGAATGGAACTTCTTGAGATCCTCTTGAAAACATATGTAACAAATTAAAGAGTCTATGTATCTACCATCTAAAACTAAAGCACACGGCACTTTTCATTATTAATACAAATATGTTCATAACAGCTTCTACCATTAGACCGTTCTTTAAAAAATAACATAAAAATGACTAAAAGCGCAGCTAATTTTTAAATCATTTAAAATTATCAAATAATATCTACTTTTTCACAGCTGTACTCTCTGTACAAATATAAAAAAAATTTCAATTATTACTGCTGCCTGGCTGAATAATCAGACACTCCTATAGAACACTGGCACACTGCCGACACTTCTACATTCCCATCTTATTTCTTCTTTAACTTTCAACTTTTCAAAGGAAAGTCGTCTTACTGATCTTTGTGTTTGGAATTGAATTTACTAGCACAACATCCACAGTAAGTTCTGAATACAGTGTTTATTGAGGAGCTGCTCCAAGCTCTACCTTGTTCTAGCCTAAAATAGTAGAAGTAAGCATACTGTCAAGTGCAGATTTTCCAAAGTAGTCAAACTATGAGTGCCCAATGCAAAAAAAAAGCCAAAATCTTTTTGGGGTGTAGAGCCACATCACCTGGCCTCACAGCAGATCCTTATTTGCTCATCTAGTTCCCTTCTGCCTCTTAAGAATCCCTCTCCTCGATTCAAATTTGTTGTTGTTGTTAAGTGCTGTTGAGTTGCAATGTCACAGCGACTAAGTATATAGGGTTTTCAAGAATGAGCTGATGGGTTTGAGTTACTGATACTAAAGCATCACACCAGATCAAAGAATAGTTGAAAATAATGAATTCTCGTCTCGCTCACAGTGGAATTCCTCAATTGAAGTCTGATGTTGTTAAGTGACGTCAAGTCAGTTCTGGCCCAGAGCGACCCTGTATAGGGTTTCCAAGGAGCAGCTGGTGAGCTTGAACCGTCAACCTTGCAATTGCAGTTCAAGTGGCTTTGCAGTCTGGCACATTAACCCACAGCACCACACCATAAATAAAAAAAAATTTTTTTTAATTAAATAAAAGCTAAAAGGGCTATTGGTTTATTTCTGTTACATAAGGAGGCTTCAAAAAGTTTGTGGAAAAATGAAACTTTTACATAATTGATCTTTTCTCATTTAACTTTTTCTTAACTAAGATGTTGGAAGTATAAAGTTAAGTGCTGTCAAGTCAGTTCTGACTCACAGCTATCCTGTTTGGTTCGAAGTCCCATGCTTATCCTACAGCACCACACAGGGAGTCCTGGAGTGTTCAGTAGCTGTGGTAAATGTGGAGAGCTAAGGCTCAAGGTGTAAGATTAAACAATGGAGCACTTCCATCAAGGAAAGGCTCTAATAAAGCTAGCCAAAGCTTGCCAGGTTAGCTTGCTGAGGACAGAGAAAAGAGAGATGAAAATAAATAGCTTAGAAGGGGCTAAAAATGAAAGGTGGGAGGAAAAAAAATAGGTACTTAAAATACCAATTTCATTCTGAAAACTGAAATTTTTGCTTAGGTTACATCTGCATTATTTTTTTCATTTTGGAGATAAATAGCAAATCATTCTCCCACCATGTATGGAGTAACTGCATATGGTATTTATTCAAATAAGTTATATGATATAGCTTTAAAAGCACTAGCACTACCATACCTCCTAATGTCTTCTTAAAAATCATACTTACAGTTGGAGCAGGAGCCATAATGCTCATTGGTACAGGAATCATTGGAGTCCCTTAGGGAAAAAAAGATAGTAAGTTTTAAGAATACTGTTACATATTACCATATTGTGTAACAGCTACAAGCAAGACAAATAAATATCTTTACTCATGGCTAATACAGAAATGAGGAACTAATGAAAATGAGATACTGATGAGAGCCTTCTTTTCAAAAGCAATGTCACCAGGTGGATCTATAAGAATTTATTAACATAAAAAACTAAGTAAACAGGCTACCCATACATGCTGTTTTTGTCTTGTTGTTGGTATGTGCCGTGGAGTCGGTTCCAACTCATAGTAATTCTGCATAGGGTTTCTGACGCTGTAAATCTTTATGGGAGCAGAAAGCCTCATTTTTCTCCGCAGAACAGCTGGTATTTTCAAACAGATGACCATGAGATTAGCAACCTAATTCATCACCACTAAGCTACCAGAGCAAAAAATTCCGAATAGCTCATTGGTTCATGTTCATCTGGTTCAGCAGATTCTCAAAGACAGAACTTTCAACAGATACAGATTCACTTATGGGTGACCAATGTTGTTGTTAGGTGCCATGGAGTGAAATCCAACTCACAGCAACTGTGTATAGGGATTCCAAGGAGCAATTGCTGAGTTTGAACTGCCGACCTTGCTGTTCAGACCAACCTTGTGGTTGACTGCTTATCTTACAGCATCACACAATGAATCCTGGGTGACCAATAGTATTAATAAGTCATGTGAAAGTAAAATTTATCTGGAAACATAAGAAGAAATTTGCTATTCCTGGATTTTTAATAAAGTTCAACAATTTCAACCACTGTGGAAGGGAATTCAATTTCTAAGACAAGTATCTGCTGCTCTATTTGAGCATTTAAGAACTGTTAATAACTGTTATGTTAATATGCTATCTACTTCCTGGTGTGGTGCTGTGGGTTAATGAGCCAGACTGCAAAGCCATTTGAACTACAAGATTGGTGGTTCAAACTCACCAGCTGCTCCTCGGAAACCCTATACAGGGTCGCTATGGGTCGAAATCAACTCAACGACACTTAACAACATTGATATCTTTGTGGTACCTGAATTTATACTTGTTTTCAACTACAGAGTTTACTAATAAACAGTTGTCATATTGAGAGTTTTTATGTTCTTGTTCACAGACCTAATGAAAAAATCTTACTATTTGAGACTAATAAAAATCTTCTAATGACTCCCTCGGAAACCCTGTACAGGGTTCGCTATGGGTCGGAACCGACTCTACGGCACTTAAAAACAACAACAACAATGACTTCAAAATTGTATTTTCCAAAGTTTCTAAATATACCTCAAAGTTATAAAATCATCCTTCAGCTCAAATTTAGCATCAAATTAAGATTAATAAATTACTTTTAATACTATGCCTCTGGTAAATATAATGTATTTAAAATAGTTTCACAGAATGATTTTTTAAAAGGTTAAAAAAAAAAAAAATGACTCCTATCAGTAAGTCAACAGAAAAAGAGACGTTAAGAATCAAATCTGGGTTTATTTCTTGGTTTCCATTCTTAGTAGGAGCCCTAGTGGCAGAGTAGGTTATGCACTGGGCTGCTAACCTCAAGGTAAGTAGTTCGAATCTACCGGGTGCTCTGCGGGAGAGAAATGACGCTTTCTGCTCCCATAAATTATACAGCCTTTGAAATGAGTCGGAAGCTTCTCAATGGCACATCACCACCATCACTTTTTGTTAAACAAACTTGGGCAAGCTCTTTAGCTTCAACTTCCTTAGTTTTCTTAATTCTAGTGAGGAAATTATTTCTTCAAAATGTCTGTGTGATTGACTGAGATAATTTATATAAGCACTTTTAAGTATGTTGTTGTTAAGTGCTATCAAGTCAGTTCCATAGCGACCCTGTATAGGGTTTCTGAGTAGCAGTGATGAGCTTGAACCAGGAACTTGCAGTTCAAACAAGTTGGCAGTCTAGCGCATTAACCCAGTGCCACACCAGGACTCCAGTATGGTGGGTGTCAAACTCTACAATATTATTTAAATTTCTAATTAACTTTGCAAAAGAAACATAATACCCTCTGATAGGTTAACTTTCTATTAAAGAAAATATTCATAAAAAATTATACTGACAATTTTTCATTTTTATATTTATCAAGTTTAAAGCTATCTCTATGCAAACATAAAATAATTTCACCAAATTTAGTATGCAGTTGTTAAATGCCGTCTAGTTGATTGTGACCCATAGCGACCCTGTATAGGGTTTCCAAGGAGTGACTGGTGAGCTTGAACCAACGACCTTGCAGTTCGAATAGCTTTGCAGTCTGGCACATTAACCCACAGCGCATTGAAAATGTATGACTATTCAGTGGAGTAGGGACCTTCGTGATTCTACACGATTCTTGTGATTCTACACGATTCTTCTTCGCACTGGACTGCAAACCACAAAGTCTGTGATTAGACCTCACCAGATAATCAGCAGGAGAAAAAGATACTTTGGAAACCCTCAAAGGAACTTAACAATTCAATGCAAAAATCTACATATGCTAAAGTGAAAAATAGCAAAGTGCACAAAGTGAATTTATATGTTATTATCATTTGTTTTTGGTTTTTTTTTTTTAGTTTTTACTGTGAATTGAGAGATAGTTTACATGGGAGAACATTGGTTTTACACTCATCGTTTCATTGCAATGATTACAATCTCCGAGCATCATCATTCAACAGTGTTTGCTTCTATTCCCTGTGTTTTTTTTGGAGGGGAGGGGGGATGTACACAAAAACACTCAGGAATATATAATCATTTAAACAACCACAGGGCACATTCTGCAAGCCTGCCTCCTGGCCGCCAGCACACCTTTCTCTTTTCATAAGTCTAGAGTCCTCAGGGGCTCCCTCTCTCCATGTTATCATCTCTGCCTCCATCTCTGGTATTGCCGATTCTCTGGATAGGGTCCCACATTCTGATCATGCTCTTCTCCCTTGATGGTCCTAGGGTCCTCTGTTCCTGGCCTGTAAGATTAACTACTCCCCACTTTTTGTTACAAAACTTCTACCTTTACATTTGTGTTTTTTTAAAAAAGGAGATGGCAATGAGGAAACAGAAGCAAACATGCTGGGATATGTAACGCACATCTAAAAATTTTAAGTAAGGTTGTCTTTAAGGAAGAGAACTGAAAGACTATGGAAAGGAAAGCTTTTAATCTATATGTATTTATTATATTTCAAAGGAAAATTATGACTATTTTCAAATTTATTTAATACAAAAGCTTCAAAAAGTTTGTGAAAAATGGAATGAAAAGGTAATGGAACTTTTCCACTAACTTTTTAAAGTCTTCTCACACATATGTGATTGCAACCTACATTATCTTATTTAATGTTCAATTAAGTACACAACAGGTTAAGATGAAAAAAATTATACATGAAGTATGGCAGTTTTGAATTCCACTCATTTCATATATGATTTCGTCCATTTCCTTTTAAAGTTCTGCTGCTATACACATAGCAGGTGGTAACTAACTTGCAACCAAAGTGTGATTTTTCACACAAATATTTTTACCTAAATAGAAACAATAACCTATACACTGTTATAAATGAAATCAAAATTATAATAGTATTCCATATAGTGAACAAATGCCTACAGTTATATGGCATCAGAAAAACAGGCAGTAAGAAATACTGATAAACTTGTTATCTTATTTCAGTCTGTTGATCCGTCTAAAAAGAGAAGGAGTAGCCTCAAGTGAAATATGTTCCACTTACCTTCTAATTCCATTTATTAATTTCCTATAGTGTTCATTGAGGACCCCGGTAGCACAGTGGTTTAAAGCACTCAACTGTCAACCAAAAGGCCAGCAATTTGAACCCACCAATCCCTTCTGGAGAAAGACGTGGCAATCTGACTCTGTAAAGATTCACAGCCTTGGAAGCCTTAGGGCTCACTTCTACTCTGTCCTATAAAGTTGCTGAGTTAGAATCAACTCAGTGACAGTGGGTTTTAGTTATAGTGTTCATAAGAAAATGTTAAACTTAGTACTTATTTAAAAATTCAAAGGAATTTAAAATCTTTCTATAAACCCACCCTAATGGCAAAAAAATTAAGACACTGGTATTTCATTGCTACCTTTCCTGATTCTGAACAAGTGATTAAATTTCCCTTTCACTCACTTAAGCGTCTTCACAAAGAACTAGCATATAAATTATTTTTAAGCTCTCGTCCCTACCCAATAGGTCTGTGGGAGAAAAGCCCAGTGATCTGCTCTTATAAAAGTTACAGCCTAGAAACCTTAAATAGTTCATTTCTAGGGTCGCTGAGTCAAAATTGATTCAAGGACAGATACCTAGCAACAAACCTATTAACACCAGGACCTTGATTAAAAATATCACGGTTATTAATAAAATCTATCAAAAAAAAAATAGAATTTGTATTATGCAACTATAAATATATGAGCAAAAATAATTTTGAACCCTAAATAGATGTCAGGGCGGTATGCTCCTATAGCAGATATTTAATGGCTAATTGATTTGCTGACATTACACATTTCTCTTATGGCTACTCACACCTACTAAACACTGCTGTCAACTAGACCTAGAGGTAGGAGGCACCCAAAACTGAGATCATGGCAGTAAACGACTCACAATTCAAGATTAAGATGTAAATAGTCCAATCCAAAATAATGGCAAAGATGATTTTTGTATAAATTCTGAATTGTACAAATTCGTAAGAGCCACCTGAAATGTACTTACTTTTGTCTTTTCAACTTCAAGATCTTTTGTAAGAACTTTCATGAAAAAATCTAATGGCTAAAAACAGGTACTTGGAAGTGTGGCCAATTTCATCCAAGAACAACTGTGTCCTTTGCAATGAAAATGAAATCTGGATGGTGCTTGACTACTATCATTAAACATTTTTAAGAACCATTCTATAGTAGAAACTTAATCAAAAGGGGGGAAACTGAGAACAATTTCAAATTCTCACTGACTACAGACTTTTCTGGATCCACATCTGGATTCACGAAGGATAGCTAAACCCCTGAAACTAATGCCTTGAAATCTTTCAATTTAAACCAAAAATATGCCCTGGAATCTTTTTAAAATTATACAGTAGTTTACATTTAACTAGTTAAAAAAAAAGTCTGCCTTAAGCATTTGGCTCTTTTAAGAACTGTTTATATGGGATCAAAATGACAACAGCAACCTGAAATAGATAGAAACCTTTGGAGGGCAGTGAGTTGATGATGGGGAAAAACAACTCAGAAAAGGAGAATGAGAATGAATGGTTGCACAAGATGAATGTAATTAGAATCACTAACTAGTATACATACATGTTGCTGTTGTTGCTAAATGCCATTGTGTTGCTTCGGACTAATAGTGACCTTATGCGTAACAGAACACTTCCTGGCCCTGTGCCATCCTCACAACTGCTGTCATGTTTTAAACTGGTAAGTGTTTTGCTGTGTATATTCTCAACAATAACAACAACAAAAACAGGTTCGTTGGAAATGAGGTTGAGTCAAAAATTATGCACACTCCAATTACATCAAAAGGTCCATCCACGTTCACTGGGGACTACAACACTGAGTGTGTATGTGAAATGATCCTGTCAAATACACAAGTGGCAGTGGATTACACGGCAAATCATTAGCAAATCAGCCATGGCTCTGCCTATATAATAATCCACAGCAGATTTGGGTTTAGAAAGTTTTTGTGAGGTGGATACTGAAACAACTCACAGAAGAGCATAAACTGAAGTGTTTGGACATCTGCAAACAAAATTCAGACCAATCTACAAATGAAGACAAAAGTTTCTTTAAAAAAAAAATCATTATTGGTGATGAGACATGGATTCTTTAGTACAAGCCTGAAGAGTAAAAGGCAGACTATAGAATAGAAATATCCTCAATCACTGACCAAAAAAAAGTTCCAAATTCAACCAACAGCTGGAAAATTGATGTTTACAGTTTTCTGGGATTCTCAAGGGCCAGTACAAGAACACTATCAGGAAAAAGGTTTAACCAACAGTGCTCATTACAATTACAGTGAGAGGCTCACTGAAGAGCTGAAGCTTAAACTTCAAATTAAAAGCAAAGAACTGCTATCCAAGTGTATTGTGATCATGCATGACAATGCACATCCACACACCTCGGCCCACGCTGCTGACACTGCAAAAACTTGGTTTTGAGGTGTTTAACACACTCCCTACAGTCCTGATCTTGCTCCATCAGATTTTCCCTGTCCCCTGAAAGCAGCCCTTTGAGGATAAAGATTCACCTCTGATGATGAAGTTAAGACAGTGGTACATTAGTGGCTTGCAGCTCAGCCTAAAACATTTTTTAATAAAGGAATATGAAAGTTTGTTGACAGATGGACAAAGTATATTGGAAAGCAAAAAGATTATGTCAAAAAATGATGCATATGTCTTTTCTAAATTCTGATTAAAATAATTCTACAGCCAAAGTGTGGATAATTTTTGACCCACTCTCCTCCTTCTAAATGATTTACAAAACCACTTACTTATCCAGCCTAAATGACATAGATTCATATGTCAGAAGAAAATACTGCTAACATGCAAATTAAGACAGCAGCTCCTGGATACCAAGTTTTGTGAGGGTGGGAAGAGAAAATGTTCTTAACTCTACACTAAAATGGAAAAATATCTAAACTATCAGCCACAAGTCAAGAAAAAGCTCTCTTTTTCTCTTAGGCCAACCAATGCTAACCATATGACACAACAATTTCAAATGTGGGTTCTCTTAACTGTGCTTAACTGAATGTTTAAAATGCACAAGTCAGCTTTTTAAAACAAAGATTTCTGGGCCCAATTTCTAAGACTCTAATTCAATGGGCTAAGATAGGCTCTTAAAAGTTTTTAATTCTATAAAGAGGGAACTTTTATATATTGATCAGTAACACTATCCAAGATACATGGGGACTTGAAAACCTTTGTGGAAAACTTCCATTATACTTTAACTCCATTTTTTCCAGGAATTTTTTGAAGCTCCCTCATATATTATCAAATAAAAAACAATAAAGAGACTAGGTGCAATGCGAAAAATACAGAATTAAAATTAAACAGTGCCAACAAACTTACCTGGAGGTACAGGTGGTGGAAAACCAGGAAACTGTGGAGGTGGGATCCCCGGTGGAAGTGCTGGGATACCCATGGGAGGACGGTTCAAATGAGGAGGGAAAGACATTCTTACTGCAGCACTCTAAAGAAAGAAACCATGACAAATCATTTTATCTGAAAACTTTACTATTCATATGTCTGGTTTGTTGACCTTCATTTTTAGAGTATCTGCAAAAATCTAAAGTTTTCTTACCCAAAGTTGTTGGCAAAGACCCTCTTTTCTCTGTCTGTCCATTGAGAATTTTTAAAACTTAGATCTTTTCTAAAATAAGTTCCCAAAATGTACACGATCTAAGTTCAGGATAGACTCCTACAATCATATGGGAATACATATAAAGGAAGAAAAAATTTTTGAGGTTGTTAATATCCAAAAATTAAATGCCAAACATCAATGAATCTTTTTAAACCAAACTCAGAAGCCAGGAAAGTATCTAACAGTTTTTTGGGTTTTTTTTAAGTGTTCTGATGCATTTATATTTTTTATACCCATCAACACCTTGAAAACTAATTTATAAGGCTATAATACCACTTATTTGATTTAAAGTGGGCAGTTCCTCAAGAAAATGTGTCAGTGAACTACAAACCTGAGGAAAAGAAACAATTCCTGATACCAGGTTACATAGTAACCACTAAAATATAAGAACTCATAATTGATAACAATGAGAAAGGGCAACAATTTTATATTTAAAAACAAACCTCTTAATCATCCATGAGTCAAATTCAAGAATCAGAAGCTAACATTTGATTTAAATGTTCTTGGAGGATCTCTTGCACCAATCAAGAGTCAAAATAGGCAGGATGAAGCCAGATCAATGATCCCAGTTCAGTTACTGATTTGCTAGTGATCAATGATTCTCACCTAGACATTTTTAACTGAAGGAGTCTCGAGTTGTTAAAAGTTTTAACAAATGTTCCTATTATATTCTTTTCTGCGTTTTATATAGTTTCATTTACCCTTCAGAAAAGAGAAGGTAAAAAGCACAAGTTTGTGGTGCAATAGAATAAGCACTGGACTGCTAACCAAAAGGTTAGTGGCTCAAACCTACAAACTGCTTCTTGGAAACCCTTTACAGGGTCATTATGAATCAGAACTGACTTGATGGCACTTAGAACAACAGTTATGATGGGGGGTGGGTCATGGTGTGGCACTACAGAATAAGCATTGAACTGCTACCACAAGCTCTGTGGTTCAAATCCACCAACCACTTCTCAGAAACCTTACACAGAGTTGCTTTGAGTCTGCACTGACTTGCTGGCATAACACCAGTTTGATATAAATATCTTTCTCTGTACAAACTAACACACAGTCATATGTTCTTCTACAATGTAGTCTTGTTACTTTATTAATGCAATTCTTCCTCATTATCATTAACATCACTTGATATCATTTCATAAAACTCTATTACTTTTTTTGTAATACTATTATAAACATACAATAATTATTTAGTCAACACTGATGATTACCTCTATTTTTTAATTCTTAAAAATAATGTCGAGCATTTTTGGACACGTTGAAGTAGTTGAGTCGGTTCCAACTCAAAGCAAACCTGTACAGGTTTCCAAGGAGCAGTTGGTGGGTCTGAACCACCAACCTTGCGATTAGCAGTCTAGTGCTTATCCTATAGCACCACACCAGAACTCATTGGTTGTATAATCCTATAGACTCATGCTAAGAATTTCCACAATATATATTACCTCCAAACTATCCTACAAAACATTTGTTCAAGTTTATATTCCCACCACCAGTCTGAGAATGTCCTTGCCTCATACTCTTACCATTACCACACAGGCAAACAATTGTGTTTAAATTGTATAGGTTAAAAAACACTTGTTTTAATTTGCATTTCCCTAATCGTTAATGAGGTAGAGTATCTTTTTACCTGTTTATTATTACCTAGAAAGTCCTAAAAAAGCATTTCCTTCATGCTCACAACTGTTCTTCCTCAGTGTTTCTTTGATTTAATAAATTGGGGATAATTCAGTACTCTAAATTTCAACTTCACTAAACACAGAATAAGTAAAATATTTACAAAACTTTACAGGTAAAGGAAATTCCTAAGATGATTTCATATACTTAACAAATAAGGTACTAAGAATAATTTTTTTTTAAATACAATTAATATTATAAATTTGTTTCTTTAAAAAATAATCTTTTTATAATACTACTTTGCCCCAAAAAATGAAAACAAATATTCTATATGAAAGGGGGGGAAGGAATTATATCTGCCTTTTAAAACAAACAGAGAGGGCTGCTGTCCTACTTACAGAAGCTCTTGTATTATCATTATAATACTCTATCTCAGCATTTTCTTAGGAGGGCAGTTGGTTTTAATACCTGTTGGATAAATAATCAGTGAATGAATCAATAAACAAACAAATTGTGAGGACCTTGTTAAACAAATTTATTAAAAAGCTACTATGTGCCAGATACTATGCTACCAATGACCCACTATCTAGCTTCACAGTGATTAAAAAGTCATCAATTCAGCTTTAGAATCACTATTCAATATAAATATTTTTTAAAAACCTCTATGGTCTTGGTATTTACACTTCAGGTTTTTAAAATACAGGCAATCCCCTGGGTACAAATATATGAACATCAGATTTTCATACAAACTGTAGTTACGAACTAACTCTGTAAATTCTACAAAAAACTCAAACTACATACATGGTTGTTAATAAGGAACGTGAAATACTTTGTAATGTGCACCAAAACATTAGTACTATTGTATTGATAAGTTAAATATGTTTACATACATCTGGAAATGTTTCTTTAATGTTTATGCATAGAAAAAGGTACACCACATACTATGTACCAAGAGAAACATTTTACTAACATTAAATACAAACCATACCTAACTGTCCCCCACTGATGCATAAATTTGACTTCAAGACCAGAACTAGTTTGTAATCCAGCGAAGGCTAGTAAAGTTAACCAGATTAAACAATTTATTTAGTTTATGGCAAGCTATTCCGCTTGCTTTATTTTTCCATGAAATATTTCTCTTGTATTTGAGGCTGCTCAAAACCTGCTTATTTACTCACAGGTTGGATCTCAAAGATGGAAGGTAAAAACACAAAAGCTAATAGACTAATTTATATGAACTTTCAAATAATAATCCCATATATGAAAATTCAGGGGGGAAAAAAACAACACATTTTTGGTAATCTTTCACTTTAAATATCCTAAAATGAGAGTATCAAGCACATATTTCAACATAAAGCTTTGTATGTTTTGGCACATGTAAACATGAAAATAAACCTTCATAACCATGATGAGCAAAAGCTAATCAATTATATTATCTGTAGATAATAAATTATAACTTTTATAATAAATTCAATAGATACTCAAAGTTGCTACAGAACTAGAAAGTGGTTTATTTTAAATACAGTACTTTGCTGTATATATTCTCAACTTCTTGTTAAGTACAGTCTAGTTGTTTCCAACTTGTAGGGTTTCTAAGAAGTGGCTGGTGGGCTTGAACAGCCAACCTTATAGTTAGCAGTCTGGTGCTTATCCTACAGTACCACACCAGGACTCCACATTCTCAACATAGGAAACAGAAATATAATGAAACAGTCCATGCTTCAGAATACAGAAAAGATGAACACTATTACGAGGTCAAAACATAGTCTGAATATTAGAATCAAAAGGTCTTTATTACACTGCATGTCTTCATGCCTGATTTCTGGGTAAAGATGAGACTCGTGTAATTATGAAATAGAAAAGATTTCTCCAAACAGTAATTAATGAAAAGGAAAAAATACTGCATAATAGAACTTATTCCATATTATGCAAGAACTGTTTTAAAATTAGATGGGAAAATGGTTTTACCCATGAAAAAAATGACATTTCTACACGCAGAACATTCAAAAAATTTGTGGAAAATTTAATCATCTAATTAAATTTCACTTTTTCACAGCTCCCGTGTTATATATGATCCTGTGCAAATGCAACAGTTATACTCAACAATATTTACAAAATATGTGTAAGTTCTAGTGCATAATAAAATGGAGAAATGGTAAAGTAACTTAAATAACTATGGTGATCAGATCTCACCAAGATGGTGACATGCAGGAAAGCTTAAGGAACTGAAGAGTCTCCCAAGGAAATAGCAAATACAAAGAGCCTGAGGTGAGCAGGAAGTATTTAAAGGAGGAACAGCAAGGCCAACAGCATGGCTAGAGCAGAAAAAATAGGAGGCAAATGCTGAGTATTAATTGGGGAAGGGGGTTGTGAGAGAAGTACAGGAGGGGTTTTGCTTTTCATTCAAAATGAAAGCTTTTAACTTGACACATTTTAGTAGCTTCAAAGAATGAAGGATAAAGAAAACTGGCAAAATATTGACAGTTTGGAAATCTGATTAAAAGATATTTGAAAATAAGATTGGAAAGGAACATGTACAAGAGGCTACAGCAAGAATAAAGAGAAAAGATGGCAGTCTAGTAAAGATAGTAGTAACCAGCAGCTGAACTCTGGGTATATTCTGAAGACAGACGATAGAAATTACAAAGGAATTGTATGTGTAGTTTGAGAAGCAGAGGTATTTTGTTAGCACTGAAATTATTTCAATTGGATTTTTTTTTTTAATATCCTAATTGGCAGTGCTTCTTTTTTATGAAGTTCAAGGCATTTTTTTCACCTGCCAAGTATGAAATTCTATAACTCAAAAAAAGAAAAACAAACATGTATGATGGCACATTCCGTATCACAAGTGTGTGGTCACAAAAGTGCATGCAGTTGTCAAAACTGATCAAACTTAAAATTAATGCATTTTATTGTATATGAATTTCATTGTTAAAAATGTGGCTAAAAAAAACACAAAAATATAAATAAGATTTATCTCTATTACTCAGTATCCAAATGCATTTTGTTTTTCTCATTTTAACTCATACCCTTACTCTTTCAAACCATTCTTTCTTCCTGTATCCAAGAATGCCATTGTTATGTGCCATCCAATTGGTTTGAATTCACAGTGAACCTATACAGCGTTTCCAAGGAGTAGCTGGTGAGTATGAACCATCAACCTTGCAGCTAGAAGTCCAGTGCTTATCCTACAGCACCAC